TAAATATTAAATAAAGAGCTATTTGTATTATTAATAAAAAACGTAGCCATTATAAATCATTAAATTAAAAATAAAATAAAAACAATGTAAAATCAAAATTATAAAACTAGGCAATATGTAAAAAGTCTTAAAATAATAACTAAAATTTCTTAATTTGGTTTTAACTGCAAACACAAATAGCGAATAAACATGGTAACTAATTATCACGTCAGAACAGTGATGTAATAATAAATACATTATTAAAAAAAATAATAGAATCAATATCGATCAACATCATTGTTTACGCCCGAACGCTGGTTTCGGAATCGACGTCAGAGGGCGCGCGGCTCGGTGCCATACCGGTTTGACGTTCGGGCTAGCTTGGATATGTCGAGCGCGCGCGAGTGCTAATGAGTCGTCTGCCAGCTGTGCTAACATCAGCACGCTGTCAATTTTTGTGCGGGAACCGCGGAAAAGTTTAGGCGTCTAGTAAATATCCTGTCTAGGATTTATAACGCGCATTCCTTGTTGGATAGCCTTTCCCGGGACTTATTGGGTCCGACTCAGAATCTGTATAAGTGCATTCGACAATATTAGCTAGTGCGGCCTTTGATATTCTAGAAATAACTGTTGCTACGCGAAACGGTAGTGACCTTTGATCCGGACACGCCGTGTTCGTTTTGTGCGTTAAGCTTTATAACAAACGAGAGTTAGTGGCTTCTGTAAGTTAGTTAATCGTACGATAGAGTTAATGGACTGTCATCGTGACAAACGAAGAAAGTGACTGTGGACGGCGCCGCGGAAGATTACCTCAATTTGGAGCGGTGCTGACGTCCGGGCTGCTGCCGACGGCAAAGGTCTAATAAGGTCAATCACCACCAGTCACACTCAGATACACATCACAGCACCTTATTTCCCTTGCACCACACAACCACATGCGACCTGGTCGAATCCGGAGGGACCAGTCGCCTTGGATATAGGTAAGTAAGCTCCGTTTAATATTCTCCCTGTTGAATGGCAGTAGTATAGAACGCTCCCTCTTATTGTTTAGTGTAATTAGAGATTTTCCATTTTGGTCATAGGAGGCCCGACCTATGTCTGTTTGTTGAAACTCTGCTGAATGGGCCCCAGAGGATTTGACTCTTTGTGGGAGCAGCCGTAGGCCGTAACAATCATATTACGAAGAAGAATAGCGAGAAAGCCAACTCTAGTATTAAAAAAAATGTTTAAAGTGTAATGAAAAAGCAGGTGAACATAAATGCTTATGCAACTAAAAATCAAGATTATTAAACTAAGCGGAATGCAGAAAGTCTTAAAATAACTAATTAAAAATATATTATTAATATTAAGGTTAATAGCATGATACGAAAGAAAACCAATACGATAACATTTTAATACATTAAAACATTTTTGCAGCATGGAATAAGTGCAATCAATATCATTCAATACCAAATAGGGTATAAGAGCGAAAAGAGCGAGCACAATATGCATACGGTTACCTAAAATATATCGAAGAAGCGGGTAGGAACAATTATACGTCTAGCAATATATCAAACAAAGAGTTTTAGAAAAAAACACAGAATAACAACAGCGATATATCGGCAAAACAGGGGTCGTAAACATTTCATTACGAGTGTAATTTACAACAGAAGCAATAAAACAATATGTAATTAAACTGAGACATAAGTTAAGCAAATTATATGTTTGGAGGCAGTTTAAGCTAACTTCTTTAAATCATTATCACTTGTTATAATCATAACCCTCGTAGTGTCGTTTTTTCTAACATGAATTTTACAATACTTTACCCAAACGTATTGATAAGCTTTATCTTTACAAATAGCTTTGGTTTTAGTTAACAAAGTCTTAGAATACGGTGTTAAGTGGTCATTAACATACAGACGTTGTTCGTTACCCACAAACCCAATGTCTTTCGCTGTCATAAATTTCTTGGCTCGAGCTGCAGCGACAAATTCTTCCTTTATGTAGCGGTTGATGAAGTTGACAATAATAGATTTATCTTTACCAAAATGTGTCGGCACCCTCGCTATGTAATTTATTTGATGTTTGGGGATCGTATAACTAACCTGCGTGCATATGTTTTCTACTATTGAAAAAAGGTTTTCATCTCTCTTTAGGGGAACTCCCTTTATCTCGATATTGTTAAGTCGAGACCATTGTTCCTTAGTAGCTAACTCCTTTTTCAGGGTCGATATTTCAGAGTGTCGAGTCAACTGTTATTTTTATTTGCTCCAATTTAGGTATCTTGGATTCAAGATCAGTTATTCTGGACTCACACTTAATTATTTTTTCACTATTAAATTCACAGGATGATTTTAGCTCTCCTATTTCACGCCTAATACTTTTCACGTCATCAATGAGTGCTGGTAGGCAGTGAAGCTGTAGTTTTAGGTCACGTATTTCCTGCAGAACCATATCAATTGAAGCAAAATATCTAGGTCACTCCATTGTTTCGCTCCGGTGTTACGCCACACATTCTTTCTACATGACCAAACCATCGAAGCATTCCTTTCTTAATCCTGGTCACAACATCATCTTGCAAACCACTCTTCTCTTATCACACAATTTCTCACTCTGTCATTCAGATTCATACCTAGGGATGCTATTTTTAGTTAACATTACCAAATTTGTTACCAAAGTCGATAGCGATCATGTGGGTGTGTTGTTAGGGGGCGCCATCCATATGATAGTTACATTGATGCTTACTGCTTGCGGTATTGCGTCTTGTGATGGATCTGCGGGAGTGCTGCGCCTGATTAGACGCATCTTGTGGTTCTGGTTGATGGAGGTTTGCGGGTGATGATGTCTACTGGGATTGTATGGGGGACATTGGTATGGTGTAAGCCCGACGATAGTCGTATTGATGCTTGTTGCGTTCTGCAGCATTGCGTCTGTGAGTTTTTCTGCAGCATTGCGTCATTGCGACTCAAGTTGTATGGCGAGTCGCTGTTCTCAATGGTGCTCTCTGCATCTTGGTTTGACTTATGCCTAACCACTCGACCGTCCACGGTGACTACAGACCCCAAAAACCATTATTGCTTCACCTGTCTAGGCACCAAACGACATCTTTCGGTTTAAACGCGTACAGCGCAAAAGGTAGCTGTTATTAATACAGTAAAAAATTATAGATGGTGCTATATGAATTTTGTACGTCTGTGAAAGTGAATTTTATCTGTATAATAGTAACATAATATTTAGAAAAAAAAAGATAAAATAAAATTTCGCCATTTTTGTTTGTGGAATCTTAACGTGTGAGAAATTCGATCAAAAATGTGTTAACTTTTCTGTTTTTATTTCTAATGTTATTGTACATCAAACTAATTGTGAAGATATTTTCTTTAGTAAATATGTGCTCTAAATTTTAATCACTATACGCGATCATCGTTTATTGATTATATGTTGTTTAAAATGTATTCTAATCAGTTTTTTTTTAAATGAATGCAAAATATAAAATAATGATTCACTATTAACACGTTGATAGCAATTTATAAACGAAATATCTGTTGAGATGTGTCTAGAAATTATTAAAATTTATTTACTTATTTATTCAAATTTATATTGGGACAATCACGATATAGTATTATTTGCTGACGATACCTCTTTAATTTTCAAACTCAAACGGCAGTTAATTAATTATGACGATGTAAATAATGCTCTATCGAAATTGGCACATTGGTTTAACGCCAACAATATGCTTTTAAACGGCAATAAGACAAAGTGTATTAAATTTACAATACCTAATGTAAAAGATTCGAATACCAATGTGCTGTTAAATGGGGAGGAGTTGAGTCTTGTGGATACCACTGTTTTTCTTGGTGTTACTATTGACGCGAAACTTCAATGGGGCCCCCATATATCTAAATTAGCAAGAGAACTTAGTTCTGCAGCATATGCTGTAAGAAAGATTAGAAGTCTCACAGATGTTGAGACAGCTAGATTAGTGTATCTTAGTTACTTTCATAGCGTAATGTCTTATGGAATTTTGCTATGGGGTAATCCGACTGATATTGAAGCTATATTTGTTTTGCAAAAGAGAGCCGTACTGGCGATTTATAACCTAAATTGTAAAGAGTCCCTCAGAGAAAAATTTAAAGAAATAAACATATTAACTTTGGCATCGCAATATATTTATAAGAATGTAATGTATTTGCATAAAAACATATATAGCTTTAATAAGAATAAGGATGTGCATACTTTAAACACTAGGAACAAACATAAGCTTGTAATGCCAGTTACTAGACTCCACGGAATCAGTAATTCATTTATGGGGCAATGTATACGCTTTTACAACAAAATCCCAGAACATACTCAAAGTTTGTCAATAAACAAGTTTAAAAGTTTTATTAAAGAAAAACTGTACAAAAAGGGTTATTATAATATCAAGGAATACATGAATGAAAATAACCCCAGGGAATAAGGTGATCGCTACCATGCTGGTTCTATGAAAAATCATTTAAAAATTGTATAAACGAAGTTAATGTTAAGTGAAATATGTTTGGAAAAAAGTCCCGCTGGGTTTCTTGCTGGTTCTTCCCAGGACTGGGGTGTTTTCCGAACCAGTGGTAAATAAAAAATGACTTTCAATAAGTATTATGTAATAATCAATATTGAATAAATTATTCTATTCTATTCTATTCTATACTGCTCTGGCTCTGAATATTCATTCTTCCAAGAGACATTTAAAAGAACTAAGTTACTAAACGAACACAACGTAAATAAGGGTCCTAACTGAAACGATCACGCCATAAATTCAAAAAAGATCAATCATGTGTTTATTATCCTGGTTATGTAAATTTTATATTTTTTATGGACGGCCTCATTTCTATATGTATATGGGTAGGGGGGGGGGGGGAAGTGGTACAATATCATTATTAAATAGTTATTAATAATACTGCCGTTATTATGTCAAAACTTCAATCCACTACTCTTCTTTAGTCAAAATTAACTACCTATGTAATAGTTTTTCACATCATTTTAGTTATTTAATTTGTCTTTTCTTCCAGGAAAACCTTCCAGACGAATGTACGCCTGAGATAATTCGTTGCCCGCTTGAGAGATTGGTATTACTAGCAAAAATGTTGGATATGGGACCCCCAAGCGATATTTTGGCCCTCGCTATGGATCCACCCGATATGTCCAACATACACAGGACAATTCTTGTGCTAAAAGAGGTAACTGTTAATCTTTTGTCTGCTCAGTCATCACAAAGATTGCTCCGTTAATGTACTAGACATTTTATTCAGTTTACTAGTTGGATTTTCAAAAAATTCTGGATGATTGCACTAGTCTTGAGTCTAATAATTATCGATTCTGTTTCTTATTTGTCATTCAGTCTGTTATGTTTAGGTTATAGCTAAAGATATAAGAGATATTTAATGAGAGTAGTATATTATTTTCTATTTGGTTATCAAAAATAGTAACAAGAAAATTGGCAAAAGAAAAATGAACCTGATCAAACTAGGAATTTGTTGACATCATTAATCGTCATTTATACTAAACACTTTTTCTTTATGAAAGGATTATTTTTATTATCCCATGATGCGTAAGACAGCATCGTACGACACACTAAAATAGGAGGGTCATTGGTGCGTACATCATCATCATCATTACAGCCTTTCATAAGTCCACTGCTGAATATAGGCCTCCCCGAAGGAATGCCACAAAGCACGGTCCTGAGCCATCAACATCCATCGACTTCCTGCATGTCATACCAGGTCGTCCCTCCATCTCGTGGGGGGTCGCCGTACACTTCGCCTACCGGTACGAGGCTGCCACTCAAGAACCTTTCTTCCCCATCGGTTGTCGGTTTCTCGAGCTATATGGCCGGCCCACTGCCACTTCAGCTTACTTATCCGTTAGGCTATGTCGGTTACTCTGGTTCTACTGCGGATATACTCATTTCTAAGTTTATTACGCAGAGAAACCCCGAGCATAGCCCTCTCCATAGCTCGCTGAGTGACCTTGAGCTTCCTCATACGGCCAGCAGTGAAGGACCACGTCTCAGATCCGTAAGTTATCACTGGCAACACGCACTGGTTGTACAATTTCGTTTTAAGGTTTTGAGGTATGTCTGACGAGAAGATGTGTCGTAGTTTCCCCGAACGCTGCCTAGCCGAGTTGAATCCGTCGATTGACCTCTCGGTCGAAGTTGGACTTACCTAGTTTGACTATTTGTTCCAGGTAAACATACTCGTCAACAACTTCGAGCTTAGTGCTCCCAACAACTTCCGGCATAGGTGCGACATGGACATTGAACATGATCTTTGTTTTGTCCATGTTCATCCTAAGACCTATTCGTTGGGAGACACTATTGAGGTCATTGAGCATGGTGCTTAGGTCCTCCAGCGATTCTGCCATAAGGACTATATCGTCGGCAAATCGAAGGTGAGGTATGTACTCGCCATTGATGTTAATACCGTATCCTTTCCAGTCCAGAAGCTTGAAAACGTCTTCCAATGCAGCGGTGAAGAGTTTCGGGGATATAACATCACCCTGTCTTACACCTCTCTGCAATTGGATACGTTTCGTACTCTGGTTCTGTACTCGGATATCCATCGTAGCTCTACTGTACAAACACTTCAGCACTTCGATATATCGACAGTCAACTTGGCACCGCTGAAGGGACTGCAGCACCGTCCAAATTTCGACGGAATCAAAGGCTTTCTCATAGTCCACATACGCCAGACATAGTGGCAAATTGTACTCTTCGGACTTCTGTACAATTTGCCGAAGGGTATGTATGTGGTCTATGGTGCTAAAACCCTTTCGGAAACCGGCTTGTTCGGGAGGCTGGAAGTCGTCAAGTCTGCGCGCGAGATGATTCGTAATGACTCTCGAAAACAGCACGTAGACGCGGCTCAGAAGGGAAATCGGTCTGTAGTTCTTCAAGAGAGCGTTGTCACCTTTCTTGAAGAACAAGATCACCGCACTTCTGCTCCACGCCTCCGGTGTAAAGCCACCATGGAGGACGGAATTAAAGAGCTTCAGAAGGACTTCAAGTACCGGTCTTCCACCCGCTTTCAGAAGCTTCGCTGTAATTCCATCCTCGCCTGGGGCCTTGCCGTTTTTAAGGTGCTGGAGAGCCATTCTAATCTCGCTCAGACTGACGTCCGGGATATCTTCGAAATAGTGTCGGATAAGACTCGCTCTTAGATCGTTACTCACACTTGCGTGTGGCTCCAACGATGACGTGTACAGCTGCCCGTAGAACCTCTCAATCTCACTCAAAATCTCAGGTGTCCCGGAAACGATGCTGCCACATTCGGTCTTCAGCTTTGACAGTTGGCTCTTTCTGGCAGACAGATCTCTGGCAAAGACTTTGGAGCCTTGGTTCCGCTCGATCGCTTCTTGAATACAAGCTGTATTGAAGTTGCGTAAGTCCCGCCGCATGCATTTGGAGATCTGTCAGTTCAGTTGCCTGTATGCTGTCAAATCTGTTGAAGAATGTAGCTTCATCTCCCGTCTAACAGCCATGAGATTGAGAGTGTGATCGGAGAGTTTTTGTGTTCTGCGGTGGGTCTTGCAGAACTTAGCTCCGACCGCATGGACAGTTTCCACGAGCTTGTCGTTCATATCGTCCACTTCATTGCAGTCTTCTAGACACTGAAAACGGTTTTGTAACTTGAGCTGAAAGGTTTCAGGACTTTGGAACAGAGCACGAGGGGGACGGAGCGTTGACTTCATTAGACGAGACCTCTCCAACTTAACGTTTAGGTTCAGTGTGCCTCTGACTATTCGGTGATCACTACCAGTTTTCACTCATCACTGAACAGTTGTCGTCTGGTCGTGAAGTCAATCTCATTTTTTGTGGAATCGTCGGAGCTCGACCAGGTCCACTTCCTGTGGGGCCGCTTCTGGAAGAAAGAGTGCATTATAAAGAGTCCCTTTTTCTCCATGAATTCGGCCAGCTGCTGGCCCCTTGAGTTCCATTGCCCTATTCCAAATTTTCCTACTTTCAGCTCATCATTCTCTTTTGTGCTTAGTTTTGCATTGAAGTCTCCCATTAACACCGTATATTGGGTTTTGGAGGAATGCATGCCTCTAGAGATATCCTCATACATTTCCTCCATCTCCTCATCGGGGTGTGCCGAGGTTGGTGCGCAAACCTGTATGACCTACAGCGAATACCGTTTGGTGATTCTGAGTATAAGGTACGCAACCCTCGTCGACACACTCCCAATCTTTACAACGTTGTTAACGAGAGACTTGTGGAAGATAAATCCGACACCTCCTTGGGACAGATGGTCGCCCTCCCGGTGATAGAGCAAGTTGCCGCATTCGAGGATTACCGTGTCCTCCCCCTCTCTACGGACTTCGGATAATCCTATAATATGCCAGCGTAACTTGTCTATCTCTTCTTCCAGCTCCACAATCTTCTCGTCAGTCCTCAGGGTGCGTGCGTTTTATGCTGCCAGGTCGAGTCGTCTTAGGTGGCAACCGAACCTCCACCGGAGATTCTTAGCACCCCCTGCCCCGCCGTTACCATGGTCGCCACCGTAGCCAGGAATAGCAGGGCCGCCGGGGACTGGGGGCCGTTTCTTTGTTACTCCGAATTAAATTCACCCACTCTGAATTAAATGAATTAATATACTAATGACCAACTTAGCTTATTGAAATTAGTTTATCTTTCAGAGTACGGAAATCTCTCCTAGACGCACATAATTCGTGAAATTCACAAGACTAGTAACTTTTGCATTATTTAATTTTGTTAATCATTCAGATTTTTTATTGATTCTAATTAAAAAATTCCATCAAGTTGCTATTACATAACCATATCGTCTTCATAGAAATATTTTGTCGATATCTCCTATATATATGTCTGTGATAACCATCAGTCAAATATATGCACAATAAATTGTGTGATCATAGAATCTCTTAATATTTACTCAATATAACAATCTATAGACGCCGATATAGTTTCTTATACAACTACTTTAGCTACCATCATCATTATTTTTAAGTAAAAAAGAAAATAAAAGAGTAAAAGATTAGTCGTGAAAATATATTTGGGTCAGATTTAAGAAGTTGACATATTTGGGTCAAATTTTGGGTATGCCGACGCTCAGAAAAAGCGTGTGAATCCCTTTTTTTGAACTTGGAGAATTGAGAGTAGAAGCTACAAATTCTTACAAAACTGTATCTCCAGTGGATTAAAAGGTATTCAATTATATTTTAACATTCAGTGTTCCACACAAACGTTGCATTTCGACGCCAATTTTGTCTTTGTTTTGAGGTTTCATAAGTACATTTCGTGAGCATGTTGTCAAATGGGATAATACAATATGATCATAGATGTATGAGTGAAAGAAATGTACAGACTAAACTGTCGTAGTTTTGTCGTATTTCTCAGATTCACATATCTATGATCATTAACATATCCACATCGTCCTGTGTGTCTCATAAGAGGCGACAGAGAGAAACTGGACAATTGAACAGAACAGGACTTGGAGTAGCAGTATCTTCCTGACAACAACTCAGAATTATACGAAACTGTGGTCTTCCTGCCTTCCAATAGTGTTAAATATGGAAAAATTCCCCCTATGGGGCATTCTACGGGGAGAGGTCTATGTTCAGTAGTGGAATTTTATAGGCTGTAATGGAAATGATGTAATAGCAGCCTTAGTAAAAAAAATTGAAAAGGACTGTGCTTATTAAACGTAATTGAAACAAAATCTGAGGTTGCTCACCTCCAATAAATTTTAATGTGATTGTCTTTGTCCAAGAGCTATCATAATTCTTATGTCAACAAATAATATATTTTTAAATTATTGGTGTTAAATGATTGAAGCTCTTGTTTATTTTTTAGGTGGGAGCTTTGAAAAAGACTCTAAAGGATGAGTGGTGTGTGTCCGATGGTGACATCACATATTTAGGTCGCGTCATGGCCAAATTACCACTCGACGTAAGAGTATCTAAGCTAATTATGTTAGGATACATATATGGATGTTTTGACGAGACCATTATTATGGGTTAGTATTATTTAATGTATTTATTTGTTTAAATGAATAATAAACTTTGTAAGTATATATGTATATAAAAACAATTGAAGGATAATTTTTTATGAAGTGCGAGCCATTCAGATCAATTATCTAGAGCATGGCCTAACAAAATCCTGCACAAAACAAGTATTTGTATGGTTTACAAATAATTGTATAGTGAATATTATATATAATATAATATTATATACTGGGTATAGATGTCACAAGACAGGAGAAATTACTAGTGTGAGGTAACATTTTTAAAGAAGAAATAAAGTTTATTGCTGGTTTGTTTCTGTGCAGGTTTTGCTTCTGGAAATAGTTGTTGGTGTTATATGTGTTGTTAGTGTTCTTCAAAAAGAAAAAAATCCTTTTAGTTTGTTTTCTAAGTTTTATTTATTTTGCATGAATATTTTTCTGTGTAATTACTAATTTCGTATTTATTTTTATCTTTTGATAGCTGCTGCCATGTCAGTGAAGAATGTGTTCAGCAGTCCCTTTCGGGAACGATTAAACGCCTATAACTCAAAACTTACATGGGCTGATGGATCCACGAGTGACAGTATTGCGTTCCTTAATGTGTATAAGGTGTGAAAAGTGTATTTTTTTTGTATTTCCGGAAAAGAACTTAGAAATTTGATAAAAATTAAAACTACGATTTCATTTATACCTAGCTACTAACGTAAGTGCGTTAGAGTATGCTATATTTGCTGTATCATAAAGGACTTCTGATATGGAAGGTTCTCTGCATATCTATGTATAGTTAAAATAATATTTTTCACCTGTTAAGATAGTTTTATATAGAATAAGGGTGACCTGATGGTAAGTGGATGTGATTTAACCCACGAACAACTTTATCTATCCTTTATTCAGAATCAATATGCAGATGTATTGTTACCTCTGAGGACTAAGTTGGAATGCCTCATTATCAGTATAATTTAAAATAAAAAATTTTGTACTGCCGACTTCAATATGAGTTTTTAAGAATAACTCAAAAACTATTGGTCTAACCTTGATCAAATTCATATGGGACCACACGAGAAGTACCAGCTTTCAAATAAAAAAAGAATCATCGAGATCGGTTCACCCAGTAAAGTTATGAGGTAACACACATAAAAAAAAACATACAGTCGAATTGAGTACCGTCTCCTTTTTGGAAGTCGGCAGAAAAAGGGGTCTCTCCACTGCCTATATGAAACACATCAGCATTAAGCGCTGCTATACCACGTTAATTTTGACGTTTGACCCCATTGAGATGAACTGCTTCTTACTGCATAATGGACTATTTTAATAAAGATAATTGTTTTCTAGGTGTGGAACCATTTACGCCAGTTGAACTATTTCAAGCAACAAGGCAACAGCGAGGCACAGTGGGCGCGCCGCTTCTACGTACAAGTGCGTGCGTTGAGAGAGTTAGATGACCTTGTGCGAGAGCTTCGTCTGCGTCTCTCCCGTGAGGGTCTGGAACCTCGACCTGGTACCTCGCCCTGGGCCAAGCACGAGATTAATCTGGTTCTCAAAGTGAGTTCAACTTATATCGAAGATATCCTTGTTACGAGTTTATTTATATTTACGAAATACATACACAAGAAAGAAGCTTTAAGGAAATCTTACACAACCTAAAGCTTGCACTCCCCTTGCTGCCTCAGCCAGTATCGGAATCCTTGGCGTCGACATATCGAATAGCGTGCAGTTTCGTGGTCACTTGCAAGGGAAGGCCAAATTGGCCTCTAAAAAGCTTGGCGTGCTCAACAGAGCGAGACAGTGTTTCATGCCGGCACACCGCTTGCAACTTTACAAAGCGCAAGTTCGGCCCCACATGGAATACTGTTCTAATCTCTGGGCCGGGGCACCCCAGTGCCAGCTCCTTGCACTTGACCGCATCCAGCGCAGAGCGATTCGAATCGTCGACGACCGAGTTCTTTCTGATCGGCTCGATACACTGGCACTGCGTAGAGATGTTGCATCTCTTTGCGTATTTTATCGCATCTATCACGGGGAGTGCTCTGAGGAATTGTTCGGACTAATTCCAGCTACTCAATTTCACCATCGCACATCGCGACAAAACTCGCGTTACCAACCATACCATCTGGATGATTGGCGGTCCACCACTGTGCGATTTAGAAGAAGTTTTCTCCCTCGCACAACTTCTTTGTGGAATCAATTACCACCAGCGAATTTTCCGGACCGATACGACTTAGGAACCTTCAAGAAAACAGCTTACACCTTTCTAAAAGGCTGGCAACGCATCTGCAATTCCCCTGGTGTTGCGGTTGTTCATGGGCGGCGGTAGTCACTTACCATCAGGTGAGCCGCATGCTCGTTTGCTTCTGCTTATTCTATAAAAAAAAACACATATTATATTTTTAACTGTTTTGCTGTCATTGTAGTTTCTGTTGTTAGAGCATTAAGACTAAGTTAGATTAAAGTGTTCATACTAGTGTGTGGTGTTTCTTCCTTTAGGTCACCTGACTGGTTGGTGGGATATACTTGTTGACATTAGCCGCTTTCACTCTTTCTTACTCTTTAACTCGTGAATAGGCAGTCGCGCAGGAAAGAGCGCTCATGTAAAGATAGAAAAGGAGAACGAGAATGCACGCGCGCGCCACCTGCTCACGAATCCTCTCATACCTCAGTCGTGCGTTCAAGTCTGTTCGCTTCAAACATAATTTACACGCACGGTTCTGTGAAAACGATTGCTGTCGTAAAATGGCGGACATTAGATTATGGAACAAGGACCTTATTACAGAGTTCTTGGCATAATGCAAGTCTCACGCATGTCCTCTCATGTTTGATTTTATTTAATAATATATTAAAATTAATATATAAAAATAAATTTATAAATATATAATCTATTATACACTTAGACCAGCAAACATAACTGCTTGTAAATTATTCCTTCTAACCCTTTTGTTCATTTCTTTAGAATGCTAGTCTTCAGACGAGCGTTGAACAAAACTGAGTGATTTTTCATACACTCCAGGTCGCGGCAGTCATTATGTTTTTTCCTTTTTGAAAAAAATATGGGAGTAATAGCGCGCGAAAGAGTCAAGGCACATAAAAATGAGAAAAAAAAAACAATCACTCACGATTACGCGTGCAAGCTTCCGATCGTGAGTGAATGCACGTGTTGTGTAAAGGCGGCTATTGGTAGAGAATTATTAGTTAACCCCCGTTGATATTGTTATTGTTCAGTCCAAAATGCGGTTATTGGGTTTTTGTGTCAAAAAAGTTCTCACTGGAGTCAGGAAGTTGGCGTGTTTCACCCTCGCGCTTCCTAAAGCACGTCAAGCTATTGGTTCTGCGCCTGATCTTTCTCTAACCGTGTCGGATAATCGTCCCATCGGACTATGAGAGTGAGGGAATAGAGAGTGCACCTATGTTTGCATATACACTCGGGTATAAAAGTGACAGAGTGTATATGCAAACAACCTGTCCTGTGCAGATGGCTAGTCTCCGTTGGGACTGGGCGCCGTGACTGAAATTCGGTCTGGAGGAGCTTGTTACTGTAATTAAGCCAAGCACAAGAATCATAAACTATCACAATTCAACTAAGTACTTCGGAAATGTTACTATAGCATATAGAAAGAAAGAAAGAAATAAGTTTATTTGGCACATAAATTATAACAAAAAAAAAATCAATGAGAACAATTTTTTTAACTAAACAAAAATATTTAAAAAAGAAATAATAAAATAAACGTAATATGCACCAAAATGGTCTCCACTCAGCTTTAAGTCACGAATTGAAAATACATACAATACATACATCAATTCGTAACGCTGATTTTCAGTGGAGCCAGGAGTATGCGGCAGATGACAATAAACAGCAAGAGAAAAAATATTAACAAAAATATAAAATAAAGGTAAAATATAATGAACAAATCTGTCAAAATTCCATGTACCAGTGATACATTTATAGTGTAGTAATAACAAAAGGTGGTGTGTGTGCGTCTGTGTGTGAGAGAGAGAGTGGATGTGTGCATGCGTACGTGAGTGAGTACGTGCGTGCGTTAGTGTGTGCATGTACGGTGCTAGCATTGAGAGTGTATGAACCATACCATTTATGCCTATTTGCTGGATTTTTGTGCTGAAATCAGAAACTTTTTTAATAAAGGTTTGAAAGTAGCAACTTATTTACTATTTCTGATCGGTGGGGGTATGTCATTCCAGCACTTAGTGGCAGCAAAGCGGAAACTGCCACGGAAGGCAGCTGTGTGGTGCTTAGGGTATGTAAGTCGTGATGCTGTCCTAACCGCACGCTGCGAGAAAATGAGCTCTTGGTACATGTATGATGGTTCCCCGGTATTTATTATTCCAAAAAGCAATGACGCAAGGTGGAGGGCACGTCTAGCGGCCATACTCATCACGTCGTGTCGATTTAAAAATGGGATTATGTGTGATCTCTTAGGGATTGTGAAGCAGAAACGTGCACAGGCGTTTTGAACTCTTTGTATTAATCTTTTGGTTCTAGCGAGCAAACACTCACCAAATACTGTATCCGCATAAGTTAGCTTCGACAGAATGAGTGCTTCACACAACCTAATGCGCATGTCCACTGTCAAATACTCTCTTATCTGGTACAAGACTGAGTCTATAGAAACAGTTACGCATGGTTTCTTGTACATGACCCTCAAAACGCAACCTTCCATCCATAACGAGACCTAAGTTCTGAGCTTCCAATACACGTTCTGAAGGATCACACTTGATGTTAATTTGCTGATTGAAAGTTAGAATAGTATTTATCTGGTTATGCGTTCTCAGTAACATATACTGAGATTTAATGGGGTTTAATACCAGATTATTTTGATCACACCAATAGCTTATATATTTATTTATGTATTTATGCAAGTTCGATTTTTTGTCTGACATAGGACATGATTGTGTTGAGAAGGTGTAAGAGCGTGTGTTGTGTGTGCGTGCGCAGGTGCTGGTGGCGGGCGCGTTCTACCCGCAGTACTTCGTGCAGGCGACGCAGGACGAGGCGCGCGAGTGCGAGGCGGTGCGCACGCTGGGCGGGCTGGACCCGCGGCGCTCGGTGTACCTGCGCGGCTTCCCGCCGCACCAGCCGCCCGCGCCCTACGCGCCCGCCGTGCGCGCCGCCGTGCGCCGCGCGCTCGGCGACGACCCCAGCGTCTCCTTCGACTCGAACAGCAGGTAGCCGCCCTGCGCGTACGCACCCTTGCTTTTTAGGGTTCCGTACCTCAAAAGGAAAAAAAACGGAACCCTTATAGGATCACTTTGTTGTCCGTCTGTCTGTCAAGACCCTTTTTCTCAGGAACGCGTGGAGGTATCAAGCTGAAATTCATATGACTTACTCAAGTCTACTACTACCCCTTATAACTGTGAAAAAATCAAGCCAACGCAATAAAAAGATACAGCCGTTTATGCCGCAAATTTTGACATTCGCAAGGGAATCAAAACCTACAGGGTACTTCCCGTGAACTCAGAATCTTAAAATTTGGTACGAAGCAACGTATTATATCACAGATAAAGGAAAAATTGCGAAGATCATAAATTTTTAATTACATCATATAATAAAAATATTTTTATAAATTTTAAATTTATATACCTACGAATTTGTTCGGAACCCTCGGTGCGCGAGTCCGACTCGCACTTGACCGGTTCTTTATGTTTTATACGCGTCGGGCGCTACTTCTTTTTTTTAATGTTTCAAATGCAAAGGGATATATGCACATACAACCTAGTCTGACGGATGTTCTATTCTGTTCAGGATTACTCAATGATTAATTTACGCGAACACTACACATTGAATAAAAACTACTGTAACAAATTTTATAGCGTTTAATTTTACTTATTTTTAATGTCGCGGATTCGGCCGTGTTTTATTTTACTTAGTTTTGAGTGCTTTGCAGCACCTATGGTCCAGGGAACGGGGGAAAACGAAAGGAATGGAATTAACGTCACAATATCATAGTTAACTCTGAGTACGTTCAGTTGTTACCGCCTGGGCGACTGCAGTCTCCTTGAGATCCTGTATTTCCTTGTAATAAAATAAAATTAAAACCCAAAGTGGCATGAATTCAAGATTCAGTGAACTCATTCTGCGTAGATCAAATCAAAAACAACTATTAAAAGCCGAAGGTACACGGCTGTGATATAGACATGGCGAAGTCTCTCTCCATGATCATGATTGCTACAAAGCACTCGAAATGTCAGAAGTTAAAAATAAATAAAATTAAACTCATTAAAATCCATAAGAGTAGTTGAATTCAATCTGTTCAGATTTTTCACAGTAAGTTGTTACATAACATTGTGAAGTTTTGGGATATTTCATATATATGTATAATTATTTATATATATTTTATTATAACTTGACCCGAATAAAAATTACCGTATACACTATACCATGTAGTGGCGGTGTTGTAAGAGGCGACAGAGGGAAACAAATCGTGAAATGGGCAGCAGCGTCTTTCTAATAACGACTATAAATAAAAAACTGCGGTTGCCATCCCGTTTGCCAGCGTGGCAACCATGGCAAATCCTATGAGGAAATCTACGGGGAGGCCTATGTGTAACAGAGAACTTTAGGCCCTAATTGCAATGATAATCCGAACAAAAAATGCCACATGAAAGCATTAGTGGAAACAATGGCAGTTTCCTAGTTTCCACTAATACTTTCATGTACAGAGTATGAGGGCTCCGTGACGCAGTGGCTAACAATGAGTTGCAGAGTTGAGTTGAGGCCTGCGGATTCAAATCCCGTAAATGATTCGGGTCTGAACGTTTATCCTTGTAAAATGTATATATGTAAACTGCTTCCACGATATAAAACAAAATCATAGTCAGCCCACATAGAACTTCGAATTCTTTTAGAAGCGTATAGGAGTGTAGAAAATAGGTTGTATCCTTATAAGAGTGGTTTATGATTTATTATACATCTCAAGCTCTATAAAGACTGTATTATGGGATCTAAGTAAGCTTAGAGTTCTTAATCAGAATATGAAAATTCTAGTACAGAACTTCAAGTATTTTGTAACATTTTAATCTGGTTTTATCATTGAAGTTGTATAGAAGCTATTTTTTTGAATGCTGTTACTTGCTTATACAGCTCTAAGTGTTATTATAGTATCACTCAAATTTTATTTTTGAACAATGGAGTATGCAAATTCCCTTCTAAAACTTATTTTTTTGGTGTAATAATTGTACACTCTTGTAAGTCAACAGTCTATGACGTTGATATAAAACTAAAAAAAATAAAAAAATAACAGCCATTTTACAATTAAAATCTGTATAAGTGATAGAATATCGCCATTTTGTTTGTATTGTATTTGTTTTAAGTGTCATTATGTTTTTATATTGTGCTGGTCTACAAAATTTATTTGTTACCAATATGTGAAAAAAAAAAGAAAAAGATTTAATGCAGTTAGAAGGGCATGTTAAATCTAAATAAAAGTTATGCAACACTGTTCCCAAGACAAGGGCTTTCATTTTTTATACGTATCTCTAAAGAGAATTATATGTTTTGTATTCTATTTTTTTTTTATAGGATAAGGGTGACAAACGAGCACACAGTCCACCTGATGGTAAGTGATCGATGTGGCCCATAGACATCTACATCTATCTTCGATTAAGAATCAAAATGCTGATGCGTTGTCACCCATGAGGACTAAGATGGAATGCCTCGTTTCCAGTAAAAAGGGTCTCCGGTTCTCTACACTCACCATACGAAACACAGCAGCGTTAAGCTACAATTTTACGCTGGTATTCTGTGAGAGCGTGGTCCTTCCCCGGTCGAGCCGACCCATTCGTGCTACAACCATAATATAGCTGCAGCATGGCTCTACCACGTAGAAAACAATTATACAACTGATTAAAAACCAATGATAGAATCCATAACATACATAGTACAGCTACTGTCAAATATCGTTTTGTTAGCAAATTGTCGTCATTTTAGGTAGGACCCATAAAAATAAAATTTAAAACATAATTTTACGAATATTACACATTATTATACCATTATTTTCAATTTGACTAATGATCATTGTGTCCCGATGTGCCTTCATATCTATTAATTTAATATATATTTTTTATTCTAACCTGTGCAACCGATATTTAGTTACCGTATCTAGTATTTTCGTCTTATATTATTTAGTCATTTTGCTGGCGCGGCAATTTTTTGATAGAAAACACATACAAGTTTACCGTAAATCTAATTTTGCACTTACAATTCACCAATTGTCGCCGTCAAAACTCAACTCCAATCCCAGTATAGTATTAATAATATGTTAATATTATATTTTTTTACTATGACATTAAATGTCGCCATCATTTAATAAAGTATAATATAAATACAACCTAGTCATCGAAGAGAAAGTTCTTTTTGTTTTATATTCAATAGTAATTTCGTTCAAATCCCAATTTAGAATGCTTATCTTTAAAGACAATATCTGTAGTGTAATAGTTTTTCTTGCACACCAAATAACAGCTGTAATACAGCAGTTATACAGCCACTTTTAAACTTTTATAGCTACTGTACTGCGCAATTAACGCATAAAGCTGTAGAATTTGTGCCAATTTTTTACATTTAAGAACTATAAGCGCTTATACAGCCTTTATACAGCCAGCCGTTTAAAATACAGCTTCTAGTATAAAAATAAACTTCAATACAGCTCGTGTACAGCTTGCATGCTGCTTGGGTAGTAACGTTTTTTTTTTAAGAAGTATACCTGAAGTAGAATCAACCTATATACATTGCAAGTCATCTTCTATCAACCATGAAACATTAAATGTAGTAATTATATTAATTTGACGTAATTTTCTTTTCAGAAAAATATATCTAACATTCTCGGAAGGAAGCGACAGCTCTAAACGCGATAAAGACAAAACTGGAGTATGTACCAAAAACTGGTGAATCATAGATTTAGATGTATTTTTAATGACTGCTAATGTAAATAATGTTTTTAACTTTATAGGATCCGACAATACCCGGACAGGTTGTGTTACCCATTTACAAAGCGATTAAGGCTCGCCAGCTTAGAATGGATATACGAATACCTCTTTTGCCGTAAGTAGAATTTGTTCTGACTTTTATTTTCATACATAATAGGTTTTGCACCATACATATAAGATTAACTTAACAAACATATAAAATTATTATTTTGTTATTTATTAATTTTCACTGAATTTCATTTCATTTAAAAATTAAGTTATATAAGTAAAATTTGCTAAGATATTATCACTAATTTTATATTATTAAACCTTATAATATAATATCACAAGAGATATGAAAGATTTTTATTAGATACTTGAATTTTGAGGGATAGTAACTTATTTTATATTATTATAGGTTAGAGAAAGCCAATGAACTCGCGGCTGCCCTAGAGATGAGCAACATGAATGTTGATATAGAGAAAATGGTGCCTCGGTTGCCCGAAGTTGATGATACACACTTTCCGCTCAAAATATCTCAAGTAAGATATATAAAATATTTCATCAATATAGATAAGTTAATGTAAAGTTTTTAATTACGATCATTTAACTAATAATCCTTTGCTGGACATTGGGCTATCCAGTAGTAGTTTTCAATAACACTAGTACACAGATAACTATGAAATTATTATGTTCAGCATTTAAGTCTCCATTGAGACCATAAGATAAATTTAAATTACTTTAATTTAATGTAGTATTTTAGTTATTGGCCGTGTAGTGGTGGCGTAAAAGAATCTACTACAACATATCATCCAGTGGGTGTTGCCGAACAGGCGCCGAAAAGGCGACAGAGGTAGACTGAAATGGGATTTGGGATCTTCTTGATAAGAATTGAATAAGAATAAAAAACCACTCTTTTGAGCAATCTTTGATCTGCTTTTGATAGGATGTAATGACTAAAGAAGATGTTTTTAATAAACTATGGAATCCTCCTACCTATTATCAACTTCTTATATACGTATGTCCAGAAGTTCTAAAATCATATTTAGATAATTTAGACGAGTTAATGGAGATACGGTTGCATTTCAGTTGATATCGGTGAGCAAGTTCTGGGTGCAGTACGACGACGAGTCGACTGCGTGCGAGCTGCGGCAGATCCAGGCGGCGCTGAACCGCGGCTCGCTGCTGGCGGTGGCGGGCGCCGTGCGCGTGGGCAGCCTGCTGGCCGCGCCCTACGCCGACGCCACCGGCACCGCCTTCTACCGCGCCAGGGTCACCGCGCTGCTGCCTCGTGACATGCTTGAGGTACGCCCGCCGACAACACCTCTATACAACTAAACAGCTCAGCTGTTGAAAGTCAAAACCCAGTAAATGGCATTAAAATGTTCCGTTACAGTACGACTATCTTATTTCAAAACCAAGTAAATGACAATAAAAAAATTGTCCGATGCAGCTCGACTGTCCTATTTCAAAACTCAGTAAATGACATTTAAAAAAATCCCATATAGCTCGGCTGGCCTCTATTAAAACCATAAATGTAAATAAGAAAGGTTTTTACCAAAATTGCTTACTTAATTATTCTTATCTGAAAGATAAAAACATTTGCTATGGAAAAATTTTAATTTCTTAAATCGTTTAGGCGTTTTAGTGCTTACTCAGTTTAAAAAGTGGATTGATTGTTTAAAAAGTGGAAAGATGGAGCTGTCCTACACTCGTACGATTTTAGATCATGTTCATGTCATTTTAATTTTAATTTTATGAAAAAAAAAAAAGTTAAACAGACATTGAGACATCAACGAGATTGGACACACTTTATTTGTTTTAAAATTCTCTCCGTCTAAAGCGTCTCCCACACAGAAGCGGCTTGCGGTGGCGGCTAACCGCGAGCCGCGACTCCAGCCGCTGCAACAACATACCACCGCGGTCGCAGCGGTAGTCTGAAGCGCCATTCGCTGAGTTGTCTGTACTACTTTGTACGTCAGTACGTACTGTATTGGACGTCAGTAACATGACTAACCATGGCGAAGTCTTTTTATATTCTGCAATTGTTTAGGCAAGAATATTATACCTTCGAAATGTATTCTTTAACGTGCGCGCTTAGCCTCGATATCGAGGTCACCTTCCCCTCCCCCGGCCGCATTACGCGGCGGGATCGGACTTCTCGAGAGTCATTGTAGAATTCCTTGCGAGCTATACTGACGTCTGTTTTCCGCGCCTAACTGGTTACGAAAGTATCAACCCGCGTAAATCGTTGTGAGAACCCGTATCGTTCATTAGGACTTACTAACTCTGTTAAATTAATTGTGCAACTATAATAGTGATTTACCTCTGAAGTACTACGTGTAGCTGTCCCATTTCGTGACAAACCAGGAAGAGTGCCTCCAGAGGGGGAAAGTTCCGAGGATACCAGCGCATACCTTCTCCCGGACGGCATTGCGTCATCCAGACCAGGCCGCGTCAACATACACGTACATACAATCACACATACAACTCACGAAACTGTCATCAGCCGGGCCGGTCTTGGAGAACCGTCTCCGCTCCTGGAGCAGGTGAGTGCCTTTATCATAGTGATCATTCCCCTCGTTTATTTCTATTAGAAATCTCCACTTTGGCCAAAAGCCCGACCTATATCTGCCTGTAGGGTCTTCCTACTATGGGCCTAGGTGGATACTACCATTAGCTAGGCAGCTGCAGGCCGTAACATTTGGTAGCAGAGCGTGGTTGATTGTGTCTACAATCACGCCCGGCCGTAATACGTAAAATTAATATAAATAATAATTCTTTCTTGTTGCATAGTGGCTCGCCTTTTCTCTGTTGTTAGGAGATAGTTTACTAAAGCCACGCCCGTAGGTAACAAGCGAGAATTGTTGAGGCGAAGTATTTGATTAGATACATAAGGCTGTCACGTAATGGGATAATTGTTAATCGTACTAGGGTTGTTACGTGTTAATTTGATTTGTGTTTTTTCGTATTAACTTGTATTTAATAATTGTGTAATTTCTACCTAACCTGATTGATATTATCGTATTAGTAGTACTGTATTCGTTATTTCTGTTATTTTGTTATTGTATTTAGTAAGGATGCCGTCACATAAGCTACTAATTCGTTGCTTGCGGACTGAGCTGCGCTGGGCTACCAGCGCACACGCGTTGATAGGCCGACCGGACAGGGTCTATAATCTGAGGAAGAGGCTCGAGCAGGTCGATGCTCGAAGGGCTGCCGTGGAGGAGGCTTACTCTGAGCTCGAGGACTCGGAGGTGGAAAAGGGAGTCCTGAACCCCTGCCGCGCGGACTACGAGCAGTTCCTCGCGCTAACGGACGACCTGATCGAGGCGGGGGCCAAGGACGCGGAGAGGGAGCGCGAAGCTCGGCTGAGTAGCCTTCTCGAGTCCCCGCGGAAGCCTACTCAGCCAGAGCTGCTAGGACGACTCCCCATGCTGGACCTGCCAAGGTTCTCCGGGGTCCTCTCGGAATGGCTGACCTTCGTCGGCATGTTTGACAGCCTGGTGGACGCCCGGAGGGACTTGACCCCCTGCCAAAAAATGGGGTACCTCCTGGCATCACTGGAGGGGGAGGCCCTGGGCGTCGTCGGCCACCTTAAGTTGTCGGACGACGCCTACCAAAACGCCAGGGACCTCTTTGCTGGAAGGTACGCCAACGTCCGGCGGATTGCGGACGATCATGTTCGGAGGCTGCTGAACCTCCCGCTGCTGAAGGACCGAACTAGACTACGTGAAGACATAGTGAATCCAGTCGTCGTAGCGTGCAACTCGTTGCGGCGGCTGGATTTACCTGTGGACGAGTGGTCTTTTCTGCTCCTTCATATAGTGCTGTCCCGCCTGCCCCTCGACCTTCGGCTCCATTTTGAGGAGAGGTATGGAGGGGATGGCGCCTCGTACATGCCCCCCTTTAGGGACCTGCTGCGGTTCCTGGAGGAGCAGTGTAGGCAGCGGGAGAACGCAGCAGGCGCCGTCGAGGGCCCCCCGGCAGCTTCCCGAGCGGTGCCCAGGGAGAGGCGGAATCAGCCGGCCAAGGCGGCGCCCACCCCCCTGAGGCCGAGCGGAGCCCCCGCGGGAGGGCGCCACCCAGTACCCTCCTATAGTGGCCTAGCGGCCCGGGAGGCGCCTCCCTGCTCCTATTGTCGAGCATCCGACCACCGGGCGGCGTCGTGCCCGAAGTTGTTGCGCAAGCCGGCTACGGCGAGGCGAACCATCGCCAGGGAGCGCCGCTGGTGTTTCTCGTGCCTGGAGAGGCATTTACAACGAGACTGCCCGCACCAGCGGCCCTGCACGCACTGCCAGGGCAACCACCACGTCATATTGTGCCTGGGTGCGCGCGGCTCGTCCTCTCAGGGCCCGGCCAGCCCCCGACTCCCACGGGCGGGGGCGCCCAGCCGCGCCCACTGTCGGGCGACGCTCGGCGCTCACCGGTGGACCACAGCGCCCCTCGTTCTGAGGGGAGTCCCTCCCCCGATCGGTCTGGGAGTCGTTCCCCCAGGGGGGGGGTCTTCACCCCCCCCTCAGCGGGTTGATAGTGGATTCGCAGCCACTCAGCGGTCAGCTAGACCGTTCTCACCCCCGTTCGCTGAGTGGCCGCGACTGGAACGCCGCCCGCCTTTGGTCGGTGCCGGTACTACCGGGTTCCGGAGACTGCGTATCGGCCCCGGGCCTTGGAGCCGAGGATCCCCGAGTTTCCCCAGGTCGGCCCGTTCGGGGAATTCCAGTCAAGGGTCATCGAGACGCCGTCGGAGTGCCGCTCTCGGGGGGCTCTCGCCCCCGGTTAGGGTGCCGGTCCAACAGAGGCAGCTCCAGATAGGAGGCTGCCGCCCTAGCTCCCGCCATGGCCGCCTCCACTGAGCCTATAAGTCGTCAGCAGTCCACCTGTCAAACTGTTCTATTGCTGACGGCCTCAGTGAAGGTTTACAACCCAAGCGGCGACCGCTTAACGGTTCGAGCTCTATTGGATTCGGGTTCCTAACGTAGTGTGGCCTCTACTCGGTTGGTGGGAAGACTGGGGCTCCCCTGGAGCTCTGAATCACGTCCGATGGTAGGTATCGGAGGTGCCGAGCCTCCTGCTCCTAGGGGACAAGCGGAGTTGATGTTCAGCCCTGACAGCGAACACCTTCGTATTTTAGTCAAGGTAAATGTCCTCGACGACATTGTAGGGTTTCTCCCTAACGTTCGTATAAATGACAGCGCTGTGCGCTGTGCGTCGGCTTTGAGACCGGCAGACCCTCGTTGGACCCAACCTGGGCTTATAGATTTGTTACTGGGGGCCGACACGCTGGGTGTCCTCTTGTTAGGTGAGATACGAGCTCTGCAGCCCGATGGCCTGTCAGCCATTTCCACGATATTTGGGCACAGCTTCTTTGGACCGGTTATGTGGTCTCCTCCCCCTCCGACGGCCGTCCCGCTCTCCGTCGTGAGCGTGTCCCTATCGGACGCCGTCCAGCGGTTCTGGAAAATTGAGGAACCACCACATGCAGCTCGAGTCGACCCTCTGGACCGTGAGTGTGAGTTGTTCTACCAGAACAATACCGGCCGGCGGGTTGACGGTCGTTTCGTCACTCGCTTACCCTTTCTGGACTCACGTCCCTCTTTGGGTCAGTCTCGTGCTCTGGCCGAGAAGAGGTTGCTTTCCATGGAGCGCCGCATGCGGCGCGACCCAGCCTTTCGCGACAAATATGTCGAGTTCATGCGCGAGTATCAGGAGCTGGGTCACATGTCACCGTCCAACTTCGAATGGCGTTCACAGGAGCACTACTTCCTCCCTCACCATGCGGTCTTGAGGACCCCTGAGAGTAAGATTCGGGTAGTTTTTGACGGTTCCGCCCCCACATCAAACGGTGTGTCTCTGAACTAGTGTCTTCACTCGGGTCCTAAACTGATCAAGGACATATCCGACATCTTGACCCAATTCCGTCGACACCAAGTGGTTTTTGTCGCGGACATTCGGATGATGTTTCGCCAATCAGTGGTCCATCGTGATGACCGCCGATATCAGCTGATATTGTGGCGCGAGAAGCCCAGCGATCCTATACAGGTGTTTGAGTTGAACACCACCACATATGGACTCCGGTCCAGCCCGTATATCGCCATGCGAACCCTCGTTGAACTCGCTGAGAGAGAGCGCCTGAGATACGCTCGGGGAGCGTCTATTTTGGAGACTTCGGTCTACATGGACGACATTTGTACGGGCGCTTCCACCGTCGAGGAGGCTCTGGTCTTGCGAGACGAATTAATTGCCATCCTGAAGTCTGGAGGCTATGAGTTGCGCAAGTGGTTGTCGAACTCCCCTCATATTTTGAAGGACCTCCCAGGAGAGGATCAACAAGACCCTCATCTGTTCGAGCACCCTGAGAATCCTAATTTGTTGACTGTGCTGGGCATTCAATATCAGCCTGTTCAGGACACCTTTACGTATAGAGTAAAACTTGACTCACCGCCCAAAGCATGGACCAAACGCTTCGTGCTGTCCACCGTAGCCCGCACCTTCGACCCTAATGGGTGGATCACCCCGGTCATCTTTTTAGCTAAGTGCTTTCTTCAAAAGCTCTGGATGTCCGGGTTGGGTTGGGACGAGCCGATTGGCGGAGCCCTCTTGCGAGAGTGGCTCGCCATGCTCTCCTCCCTTCCGGATATCAACCGGGTTTCCATGCCAAGGTGCTTCCTTCCCCCCGGGAAATGTCGGGCTACCCTACATGGGTTTTGCGACGCCTCTGAGAAGGGCTATGCTGTTGTCGTATATTTGCGGACGGTGAGTTCCTCTGGTCATACTGACGTCCATCTCGTACTCGCTAAAAGCAAGGTTGCTCCCATTAGGTCCCGCTTAACTATCCCTAAATTGGAACTGTCCGGTGCCGCTCTCCTCACGCGACTCCTCAACCACGTTCACTCTTCCTTGAAGCCTGTAATCGACATTACGGGCGTCTACGCATGGTCGGACAGTGAGATAGTACTTTGTTGGCTCCGAGCTGCACCTCACAATCTTGAGGTCTTTGTGGCGAACCGCGTGTCTCAAATCCAGAGCTCTGAGACTTCTCTCAACTGGCGACATGTCCCAGGGGAGTTGAATCCCGCGGACTGCGCTTCTCGCGGCTGTGAGGCCCCATCGCTGGTTGACCACCCACTGTGGTGGGGTCCCGGTTGGTTATCTGGGTCTCAGTCATTCTGGCCCCCGGCCAATTACTCCGAACCTACCGAATTGCCGGGCCTACGAGCCCGAGTAGGAGTGGGCAAGGATAAGCCCACTCGGGATCTCTCTCTTCTGGAACGGTACAGCTCCCTCGATAAGCTCTTGGGAGTTACTGCTTGGTTGCGCCGCTTTGTCCGCAATTCGAGATACCGATCCCACCGACTCTCTGATAGCGTTTTGTCCCCTAGCGAGCGCCGTGAAGCTTTGATGCACTGGACACGAGTGGTCCAAACGGAGCAATTTGAGTCCGTCATTGAAAACTTGAAGCGTGGCTCCGTTATCAAGGGCGCCCTGGCCCGCCTGAACCTCTTTCAGGATAACGCGGGGATGCTGCGCGTTGGCGGACGTTTAAAAAATTCTCAACTGCCGTACGGGGCTCGACACCCGTTGCTGCTCCCTAAGGACGGCGCCCTGGTCCGGTTGCTGGTAGCCCACCACCATGTTAAGAATGCCCACGCTGGGTGCAACGCTCTTTCGGCTATTTTACAGCGGGATTTTTGGATTTTGGCTGGCCGACGTATCATCCGGAGCGTCATCTTTAAGTGCATATCCTGTTATAAACTGAAGGCCACCATATCGCAGCCCCTCATGGGTGACTTGCCGCCCGACCGCGTCAGGGCCATCCGACCATTTGCTGGAGTCGGAACCGACTTTGCTGGCCCCTTCCTCGTCAAGTCCTCTAACCTTCGTAACGCTCGTTCGCATAAGGCCTATCTTTGCGTCTTCGTGTGCCTCTCCACTAAAGCCGTTCACTTGGAACTTGTAATCGCCCTCAGCACGGAAGCCTTCTTGGCCACGCTTGGCCGTTTCGTATCGCGGCGCGGGTTGCCGGACTTGATCCGGTCGGATTGCGGAACGAATTATAAGGGCACGGATAGGTATCTAAAGGAGGTCGTCGAGTTTCTGTCTAGCCACCGGACTTATTTAGGCAATGCTATGTCAAAAAGGGGCATCCAGTGGAAATTCGACCTTCCGGCGTGTCCCCACTGGGGCGGTATTTTCGAGGCGGTGGTTAAAGTGGCAAAAACGCATCTTCGTCGCGTTATTGGTGAAGCTATTTTGACATTTGAGGAGCTCGCCACTGTATTCTGTAAAATTGAGGCGGTACTCAACTCTCGGCCCCTCTGTCCCCTCTCCTCCGACCCGAATGATTTGGAAGTTCTAACCCCGGGACACTTCCTGATTGGCCAGCCTCTTAACGCTCTGCCCGAATACCCCTTCAGGGAAACGAGCGCATCACGGCTTAGCAGGTTTGCCCTGCTGCAACAGATGACTCAAAGCTTTTGGCACCGATGGTCTCTGGAGTACCTACATCTTTTGCAGCAGCGCGTTAAGTGGTCTGACAAGACGGAGCCTCCTCGGGTGGGAGACCTCGTGTTGGTTAAAGAACCAAACGCTCTACCTTTGTATTGGCGCCGTGGGCGCATTGTTAAGTTGGAGCGGATGGGGTGCCTAGAGTGGCCGAGGTTTTGGTCGGAGATTCGGTCTTGCAACGTGCCGTTGCGACCTTGTCCCGTTTGCCAATCTACTCGCGGACCTAATGCCTTATGTCCGGGGCGGGGGTTTGTTTAGGCAAGAATATTATACCTTCGAAACGTATTCTTTAACGTGCGCGCTTAGCCTCGATATCGAGGTCACCTTTCCCTCCCCCGGCCGCATTACGCGGCGGGATCGGACTTCTCGAGAGTCATTGCAGAATTCCTTGCGAGCTATACTGACGTCTGTTTTCCGCGCCTAACTTGTTACGAAAGTATCAACCCGCGTAAATCGTTGTGAGAACCCGTATCGTTCATTAGGACTTACTAACTCTGTTAAATTAATTGTGCAACTATAATAGTGATTTACCTCTGAAGTACTACGTGTAGCTGTCCCATTTCGTGACAAACCAGGAAGAGTGCCTCCAGAGGGGGAAAGTTCCGAGGATACCAGCGCATACCGTCTCCCGGACGGCATTGCGTCATCCAGACCAGGCCGCGTCAACATACACGTACATACAATCACACATACACTCACGACACTGTCATCAGCCGGGCCGGTCTTGGAGAACCGTCTCCGCTCCTGGAACAGGTGAGTGCCTTTATCATAGTGATCCTTCCCCTCGTTTATTTCTATTAGAAATTTCCACATTGGCCAATAGCCCGACCTGTATCTGCCTGTAGGGTCTTCCTACTATGGGCCTAGGTGGATACTACCATTAGCTAGGCAGCTGCAGGCCGTAACAGCAATATTATCATATATTTTGTTTCTAATTCTAATGCTTTTGTAATCACGTAGCGAATTATCATAAAGTACTGGATAATTTTGCGCTGTTTCTATTAAAATCTCTGAATTTAACATCATTTTTCACGCGGTACACGCGGCCTGTTGTAAAAATTTGCAACTGACCGCGCTGCGGCCACCGACTGACCGCGTACTCGCGTACACACATGTTGGCAAAAGGGGCGGGGCATGCGGCCGCGGCCAGCCGCTCGCAGGTCGCGACATGGCCGCGTGGGTTTGCAGACTCACTTACATTGCAAGCGAATACAACTGGCCGCCACCGCGGCCGCCACCGCGGCCGCCACCGCAAGCCGCTTCTGTGTGGGAGACGCTTAAATGCTTTTCGTTCAACAATTGCATGGTCTGCCGATAAGGCGGATCATTGGATTTTGATTAATAAACTAGGTTTTAATCGTCTAAGTACTTTTCTTAAAGGTTTTAGTAAAAACCTCGACCTAACAGTGCAATGTTGTGCATGAGAGTTATTTGCGCGTTGCGCAGGTGGTGTACGTGGACTACGGCAGCATGGGGCGCGTGGGCGCGTGCAGCGTGCGCGAGCTGCCGGCGGGCGCGTGCCGCGAGACGCCGCCGCTCGGCATGCGCTGCGTGCTGGCCGGCCTGGCGCCCGCGCCGCTGCTGCACCACCACGCGCACTGGAGCGCGCCCGCGCTGCAGCACTTCAGCGGCCTCGTCGCCAGGGGGCGCCTGCTCGGCAAGGTACTCACGTGTTGCGCTCCGTGTATACTGCGCACCCACTAGCCTGTAGCCTGTAGCCTGTAGCCTGTAGCCTGGCGCCCGCGCCGCTGCTGCACCACCACGCGCACTGGAGCGCGCCCGCGCTGCAGCACTTCAGCGGCCTCGTCGCCAGGGGGCGCCTGCTCGGCAAGGTACTCACGTGTTGCGCTCCGTGTATACTGCGCACCCACTAGCCTGTAGCCTGTAGCCTGTAGCCTGGCGCCCGCGCCGCTGCTGCACCACCACGCGCACTGGAGCGCGCCCGCGCTGCAGCACTTCAGCGGCCTCGTCGCCAGGGGGCGCCTGCTCGGCAAGGTACTCACGTGTTGCGCTCCGTGTATACTGCGCACCCACTAGCCTGTAGCCTGTAGCCTGTAGCCTGGCGCCCGCGCCGCTGCTGCACCACCACGCGCACTGGAGCGCGCCCGCGCTGCAGCACTTCAGCGGCCTCGTCGCCAGGGGGCGCCTGCTCGGCAAGGTACTCACGTGTTGCGCTCCGTGTATACTGCGCACCCACTAGCCTGTAGCCTGTAGCCTGTAGCCTGTAGCCTGGCGCCCGCGCCGCTGCTGCACCACCACGCGCACTGGAGCGCGCCCGCGCTGCAGCACTTCAGCGGCCTCGTCGCCAGGGGGCGCCTGCTCGGCAAGGTACTCACGTGTTGCGCTCCGTGTATACTGCGCACCCACTAGCCTGTAGCCTGTAGCCTGTAGCCTGGCGCCCGCGCCGCTGCTGCACCACCACGCGCACTGGAGCGCGCCCGCGCTGCAGCACTTCAGCGGCCTCGTCGCCAGGGGGCGCCTGCTCGGCAAGGTACTCACGTGTTGCGCTCCGTGTATACTGCGCACCCACTAGCCTGTAGCCTGGCGCCCGCGCCGCTGCTGCACCACCACGCGCACTGGAGCGCGCCCGCGCTGCAGCACTTCAGCGGCCTCGTCGCCAGGGGGCGCCTGCTCGGCAAGGTACTCACGTGTTGCGCTCCGTGTATACTGCGCACCCACTAGCCTGTAGCCTGTAGCCTGTAGCCTGTAGCCTGGCGCCCGCGCCGCTGCTGCACCACCACGCGCACTGGAGCGCGCCCGCGCTGCAGCACTTCAGCGGCCTCGTCGCCAGGGGGCGCCTGCTCGGCAAGGTACTCACGTGTTGCGCTCCGTGTATACTGCGCACCCACTAGCCTGTAGCCTGTAGCCTGTAGCCTGTAGCCTGGCGCCCGCGCCGCTGCTGCACCACCACGCGCACTGGAGCGCGCCCGCGCTGCAGCACTTCAGCGGCCTCGTCGCCAGGGGGCGCCTGCTCGGCAAGGTACTCACGTGTTGCGCTCCGTGTATACTGCGCACCCACTAGCCTGTAGCCTGTAGCCTGTAGCCTGTAGCCTGGCGCCCGCGCCGCTGCTGCACCACCACGCGCACTGGAGCGCGCCCGCGCTGCAGCACTTCAGCGGCCTCGTCGCCAGGGGGCGCCTGCTCGGCAAGGTACTCACGTGTTGCGCTCCGTGTATACTGCGCACCCACTAGCCTGTAGCCTGTAGCCTGTAGCCTGTAGCCTGGCGCCCGCGCCGCTGCTGCACCACCACGCGCACTGGAGCGCGCCCGCGCTGCAGCACTTCAGCGGCCTCGTCGCCAGGGGGCGCCTGCTCGGCAAGGTACTCACGTGTTGCGCTCCGTGTATACTGCGCACCCACTAGCCTGTAGCCTGTAGCCTGTAGCCTGTAGCCTGGCGCCCGCGCCGCTGCTGCACCACCACGCGCACTGGAGCGCGCCCGCGCTGCAGCACTTCAGCGGCCTCGTCGCCAGGGGGCGCCTGCTCGGCAAGGTACTCACGTGTTGCGCTCCGTGTATACTGCGCACCCACTAGCCTGTAGCCTGTAGCCTGTAGCCTGGCGCCCGCGCCGCTGCTGCACCACCACGCGCACTGGAGCGCGCCCGCGCTGCAGCACTTCAGCGGCCTCGTCGCCAGGGGGCGCCTGCTCGGCAAGGTACTCACGTGTTGCGCTCCGTGTATACTGCGCACCCACTAGCCTGTAGCCTGTAGCCTGTAGCCTGTAGCCTGGCGCCCGCGCCGCTGCTGCACCACCACGCGCACTGGAGCGCGCCCGCGCTGCAGCACTTCAGCGGCCTCGTCGCCAGGGGGCGCCTGCTCGGCAAGGTACTCACGTGTTGCGCTCCGTGTATACTGCGCACCCACTAGCCTTTATTCAAAAAACAAAAATCTTATTAAGTTACTGTCCCTTTAAAAGTTCAATTTATTATATATTAGTCTTTTTGTTAGCTTTATCGCAGCTTTGCGAAAAAGATATTTTATCCTAATGAAGTTTTTTTTTTAAATTCTCCTCGCTTTCGACTACTCGACTTGGCGATCATGGGGAGCGAGGCCACATTTTCATACCTACACCTTGAGGTTTACGACTGAATATCATTACACTTAAATAGAAAAATACTTTTAAAACCCCTTTAAATTACATTGTAATGCCAATTTTTTTACGTGGTAGAGCCATGCTGCAGCTATATTAGTAGTATATTTGTAGCACGAATGGGTCGGCTCGACCGGGGAAGGACCACGCTCTCACAGAATACCAGCGTCAAATAGCAGCTCAACACTGCTGTGTTTCGTATGGTGAGTGTAGAGAACCGGAGACCCTTTTTACTGGAAACGAGGCATTCCATCTTAGTCCTCACGGGTGGCAACGCATCTGCATTTTGATTCGCAAACGAGGATAAATGTAGATGTCTATGGGCCACAGCAACCACTTACCATCAGGTGGACTGTCAGGTCGTTTGTCACCCTATACTATAAAAAAAAAATGTCTTCGTTATCAGACCGTAACTGTCCACTGCTGTACATAATCCTCTGCCGTTATAGGAAGAATTTGCCTTATTCATACTAGCAGGCAGATTGACGATTGCTGTATTAAAAGTCTCGACCTTTGATGCTTCTCCTAGTCGCTGGTCTGGTTATATTAAGCCTTAAGCCGCATATTGATTATGCGAACCTGGCACGCGCGCCATTAATGACAGCGCCGACCAGTGCGTTCCATGGAACGCGTTCCATATGTTCCAAGTGTATCAACTAAGCACGCCTAGCGCGCGTGGCAGTCGTTCCAGTGTTTGACCGTTCAACATGGATGTCGTTCGTGTACGAACAGCTACCGCTTTTATAGTTCCATTCATCTTCTCTGAGCGCTTTATTATAATAAAAACTACTTTTGCTATTCCACAGCAGTTATTTTGAATCATATAATTTTATCAATTTATGGCAACTCTGGTTATCCATAGCTCGGAACGCAACGAACACACGAATGATGAAAATAACCGTCCCAAACGAGGCGCGCGCCAAAACTTAACTACTTTGATACGCGGTAAAAACCGACACCAGATGGAACGGCCAGTTCCATGTTTGAGCGTTCCAACGAACAATTTGGCGCATGTTCCAAGGCGGTATCTACAGTAGGCGCGCGAGTTCATGTCCATCCCGAGGAATGCGGCAGTGCTGTAACCTAATCAATTATGGTAATGTCGATAATTACTACCGATATAGTGAACAGCTGTCAATTTGATATTAATTTGTAACTTAAGGTAATTTTGCAAATTATAAAATAAAATAAACATGATAAGTACTTACTTGTATATTGCTAATAGAGATTCTTTTTTAAATGTAATTTAATCACTATCGGATGCATAGACAACCGACAAAGCAGAGTCGGAATCAGTATCTTCGCCGTCACTGACTTCAATTACGAATTTGTCGATCGTATTTTCCAATAATCCGTCTTTTTGCCAGTAATGCTCTTCCAAAATTATAACGTGATCATCAAATCCACACTAATCTATTTCTGTCACCTGGTTTATAGCCATCTCCGTTACTTCTTTCAACCTTGTTAGGGTTAAATCTGAGTTAACGTTGTACTTCCTCACAACTCTCTTGATTTTTGCCCATGCTAACTCAATTGGGTTTAAGTCGCACATGTACGGTGGCAATCTTAAAACCTCATGTCCGTGACTACGGATGAGCTGGTCCATTTTAAAAGTTTTCTCCTGGGGTGCATGCAGTTTTATGACATCAAAAAGCTCGGCTTTTCTCATGCTTAGTGAAGTCTCTACATTATTTCTTGTAAGCCATTCTAACATAACCGTTTTAGTGCTTGATTTTGTAGGAACTTTATTTTCCTGAACACTGTGATATGGTGCGTTGTCCATAACGACAACACTGGATGGTGGCAAATTGGGAATGAAGATGTCAGTCACCCATTTCTCAGAGTTTGTACTGTTCATTTGCCCATGGTAATCGCCTGTAGCAGTACCAGCTTTGAAAAGCAACTTTGCGCCATCCAAAAAACCACGTCTGGATCCGGCGTGAACGAGAATCAGCCTGTTCGTGGAGCTGGTGTCAGTCAGTATCGCGTCTATATAATCGTTTCTCCAACAGTTTTTAAATGTGAGGTTATTGTCATCCCACGTTTCGTCTAAAAAGGCAATATCGCTATCATTTTCTCTATATTGACGAATTTTTTGCAAATAATTTGACCGCGCAAATACAACAGCTGGTCTTTCTACCAAAATCCTTCGCTTGTTGTGACATTTTTGCCATTTATAGCCCATTTTCTTTAGAAGTTTTCGTAAACTTGTAGTCCCCCAGGGAAAATCAATTTTTTCGCGGATTGCCGCCAGAAGTTTGGGACAAGTGGAAACAATTTTTTTTGTCAAATAAAATTCTTCTATACATCTGTGTATTACACTTCTATCGAAATCATCTACATTTAAATTCCCCATTTTATTACACGATTTCCCTTTTTTAGAAGGCGAATGGAGAGGTCCATTTTTTGCTTCTGTTTGAATTCTAGACAATGTTCTTTTAGTAAGTCCAGTGTAACGGGCCGCTCGATCTAAAGCATTGTTAACCGGAAAAGCGAATTTATTCTCTTTTTTCTCTTCGACACATCTGTAGGACATTTCTCGCCATTTCACGTGCTTGCTTATGTATTATAAAAGGTTTTTTTCTACCTGAACTTGCTGGAAGCGGAGTGGTCTTAGTTTATTCACAATAAAATAATACAATAGGGACTAATTTTCGGTATCGATAAGCGCGTTTCACAACCGTCAAGGACAACACTCGACTGCAGACATATGCGGCTAGATGGGCGAGGGCGGGACGAAATGCCCCCGCGCGTCGCCTCTGGCCCCGATGGACATGAACTCGCGCGCATACTGTATATCGCGCGGCTGGAACGCGCGTAAAAGTTCGACCTCTTTGAGCACATAATCGATACGCGGCATTATGTAAATGAGATAGATATACTGACGTCTGTTGGAAACCATAAGATCCTATTGTGGCTTCTCACGGCACCCACTTTACGAAATAGGGTCGTGGATTCTTCTACGTCGCTTCCACACGGCAAAATACCTACAAATTGAATTTTATAACTATTACACTACTGTCAATAACTTTTTTTTAAATAAATGAATAATTCTATAAATAGGTTTACTCGGTAGTTCACGGCGTAGTAGCGATAGAATTGCTTGCTGACGGAGGACGAATCAGTGTCAACAAAGAACTTCTGGACAAGGGCTTTGCCGTTCCCTGCGAGGAAAGTTATGAATCAAAGGTGAGTAATAATTGATTTAATTGTTATTAGATTTAAAAAGATTAAACTAATGTAGAGTAGAGCACACGTTTTATATATTATTATTAAATGTGGATAGTAAGGATCTCATTATTAAAACCTTTTTCACATTACATGGTGACCCCCTTTAAATCTGGATAATATTTTAGAATACAATATGTACTATTTTAATGAGTAAAATATTAGTTATAATTACTTGAAGAAATTTAGTTTTATTGTTAAAAAAATATCGATAAAAATATCGATATTTTTAATTATTTAATTATTTTTTGGTTATTATATTTTTAAATTTAAAAAATAATTAATAATTTATTAGTTTTGTCCGTGGGAGGTATAATATAGAGTTCACGACTTATATATTAATGTTAACTGCAAATAGTAGAGATATAGTTTAATTAAAGACAGTAACAACAACACGTTTTACCAATAACCTTTCCCACATTATATAACCTTAGTTTCTCAAATTAATTTCAAACACTCTTTTTATTTGAATTATTCTTCTAATTCTTTTTGTTGACAGTTGAATCACGACCTCAGGCAAAACGCGACGGAATTGAATATGGCTCAGAAACGAGCATACAACAGGGAACAAGCTGAAGCGGCATTCTATCAAATGCGGGAAATAGAGCCACCTAACTACAAAGAATGCGACACGGATGTGTGCCTGAAAGGACCTTTCAGGTAAGGAAACTATACGGGCACACTTATTTACAATCTTAGTCCATGTGTAATTTACAAAAAAATACCGTTATATTATTATATAACGGTATTATTTGATATGCTGGGCTCAGATTTAATGTATTATAATTATGTTATAAAAATGAATTCTTACTTTCAACTATCTTTTTAAACAAGGGCAAAGTTTGCTTAGCAGTTGTTGATTTGTAGATTGTTATTTTCTGCTATCTGAATATCTTGTTTTAAAACCTTGTAAAGGCTTATTTAGTTTTGAACTTTGCTTCTTAAGAAAGTGATAGAATATGTACCTTACCTTCGCTGATGAATTTCAGAGTTAGTATATTTGGCGATTCCTAGATAACAATATTTTCTATGTTCTCAGTCCATTAGAAACAAACGTACACAATCTAATGTACGCGAGCCGCGAGAAGCAAGTTAACATTGAATGGAATTCGGTCAACTCAGTACTGCTCGATACCGAACCACAGGAGCTGTATGAACGGTAATTAATAAAATATTTAATACAGGTAATTTTCATAGACAGTAAATGTTTACTTTTCTTTCTATTTAGCCATAGCTAAAAATATTTTGTTTATTATTTTGTGAACATAGTACATAAAAGTTATGCTAACAACGAGAAATAAAAATAGTTTTTAAACATTTCCCGAATGTAACAACTCCGATGGACGAAAATTGACATGCTTTGGGTATTTCGAGACGGATGGCAACATCACGATAGAGATTGTGTGATGGTCTTGACGCATTAGAAAAAGTTAACTGATAATAATCGTTAAGCGTAGAACACACTTTTATTTTATTTTTGGTTTCTATACTTTACAGACTGTTAGTAGCAGCTGAAGTGGGTCAAAGCGAGAACGCAAGCACGTTGACTCTGCGGCACACAACATTGCTGCCAAATATACCAGGCCTGCCAGCAATTATAGCTCTGCTTTTCTGTCCTTCGTGAGTTAAACATTTAACTATCATATTATATAATCGTTGGTGTGTCTGTTAGTTATCGTGTAACTTCTGACCGACTTGGCCGCTTGAGGTTTTGAAGAATTTGACCTACTCAAAGTTCAAAAACTTTTTTAAACTAAGTTTGTATAAAAAGGGTTATTATAATATTAAGGAATTTATGGATGATAAAAACCCCAGAGGTTAGCCTTCTGCAACTTTGTCTGACTTCCAATCTCCTAGTCGCTTTAAGGACGTCAAATTGGCTTCTAAATCTGCCAATAATGTAGCAGAGGTCCTCCTGAACCTGTGCCCAGTATAATACTCAGCATCCGGCAGACCAAGAAATGTAGCTATTTCTTTTGGCATATTACCAAATTGGTTATCCCGATTGCTTGAGCTGTACACTTCCTTTTTTGATAATTTTTTGGGAAAAACTGTCGGTTTTTACTTTTTGGAATCGCTGATTCATATATTTTTGCACTATTCTAAGAAAATCTTCAACAACAAAGCTTCTCGGTCTAGATAAGAATCTAGGTAAGTAGAATATCTAGGTAAGAATCTTGATTAGTGGCATTTTCCATGGGCTTCAATATCTTTTAAAGTAATATTGGCTAACTCCTCTCTGCGGCAAGCTCCAACAACGCCAAAAATCAGCGCAACCTACAAAAAAAGGGTTTTGATTAATATTTTTTTAAGTAATATATTGACTGTATTTTGCGATTTCGTAAACTCAATACTAAAGAAAAATATAAGTATTTATTAATAAATTAACTTTGTGGCTAAATAACGATCATCGGGAGCTTCGTTCAAAAACCTTTCCACTTCATTCGATGTTAATATTTTCGACTTTGTAGTTGTAAAACCGTCTGATTGTCATTTTAAGAAAGCATTTAGTTTTGGGTATTCACTTATATCCACCTTGTTAATTATTTTCAGCATACTTTTTATCATCGAAAACCTCGACCATAACGTAGAAGGTTTTAATTTTGCTGAGAGTTCGGAGAAGTATGCCAACATAACATTTTCTGAAAAACTATTTGCTTTTTTCTTTTCTCTCCACGCAATAAATTCGTTGTATGTAGATATGTAGCGACTTTTTGCTTTTCCGGTAAAATGTTCTCCGAAGCATTTTGTGCAATTATACTGAGTTCCGGTGGTGTTATTAATTAAAATAAAAATGCAATATCGTCGAAATTACTCATTTTGTGCAACAAACAACTAAACTCGCAAAGAATATTTTTTGGAAAATGGCGCCAACCGTAAAAGAATATCAGCAGAGATTTATTTTGTTTTCTTCCCCCATTCTGGGTAGACAAAGGGAACTATACTCATACAGCCAAGTCTTCAGTAGAATTTTTTTATTGATATGAAATAAAAATGAAATTTAATGAGATGAAATGAAATGAAACCTAACCTAACTCATTGAATCAAATCGTTAAATCTGACATTGAAACAAATTAGTAGCTTCTTTTTAGAAATATTTGCATGAATCATAAAAACTTCTATGATTTTTTTTAGTAAAAACCTTCGTGGTTGGTTTTTTCTTTTCAATAGACATTATTTTGACAATTGGTAAAGAGAACGCACTAGTTCGGAAAAGGTAAAGAAAAAGCTCGAGTATGTAATAGCCCACATCCCGAACGCTACACGTCCCTGCAATACGCCACTTTTTGAGCAACAGAATTAAAAATACATTGCGAAATGGTACGTAAATTACTTTGGTAAGGTACCTACTCTGACTATGATCGACTGACCATATTTTCGCTACTATGTGAGTTCTGTGATGTCCGACGAATGCAACTTGCAAGACCATTCGTCGGGAATCGCGATGCTTGGCTCGGAAGATATCTTATTTTGGGTTTATTTGTTATTCACACTACCTACCTATTCAGGTAGGTAGTGTGAATAACAAATAAACCCAAAATAAGATTCCTAACAGAAATGTGATCGTTTTCTACTTAGTTAAAAATAAAAATCTTCTAAACAAGGTTTTAATTTCAGTATTTTGTGATATTTTAATTACAAAAGACAAGTATATGTATGTATGTAGGTACGTCAAAAGTGAAGTAAATGTCAACTAAGTTCTGTAATTAGGTACTTGGTATTTTTTTATGGAATGAAGGTGACAAACGAGCACACAGTCCACCTGATAGGAAGTGGTTGCTGTGGCCCATAGATATCTACATTTGTCTACGTTGTTAACCGTGAGGACTAAGATGGAATGCCTCCTTTCCAGTAAAAAGGGTCTTCGGTTCTCTACACTCTATACGAAACACAGCAAGCAGCATTAAGCTGCTATTTTACGCCGGTATTCTGTGAGAGCGTGGTTTTTCCCCGGTCGAGCCGACCCATTCGTGCTACAACTATACAATTAATATAGCTGCACCATGGCTCTACCACGTAGATCTGTACTTAAGTGATTACTTAATTCTTTTTTCGTTACAGAAATACCTGGGTAGTCTATATATAGATACACATTGCGTACAATTTAGTGGTTGACCATACCTAACAAAAAAAATTAAATATGAAATAAATTCACCTTTCATTATCCTTCGGTAACGTAAAAAATGATAAATCTGAATCGTTTTGTTTGCTCATGAAGCATCCATCCACGCAACAATTGTAATAGAAACGACATTTTGCCATTATAATTCGTAAAATAGATAGGTAATATATGCATTTTTTTAATTACATTTAAACTTTTTCCACTATTTTATCCTATTAAACACTAAACATGAACGTATTTCAACAAGTATTTACAAAAACTATTAACGTAAACAGAGTTAAAAAACTTAAAAATTCACTCGCCTAGAACGCGTTAACCCCGACCACATGGGTAAAAAAAAACCGTGCCCTGTGATAGGTAGACTACTACAAGCTTAAGGCGCGTGTGTGCGTGAGCGCTGGCGGCTCGTCACGTACAGAGAGAAACTGCTTTAAAGCGGGTCGGCCAGTGCTCAGGGTTGTGTAAAAAATAATAAATGTCAAATTTGTTTTTTAAAGAATAATTCCTATCAAATGAAATGTAAAAAAGTGTAAATAGGGTTTACCTACGTAGATTTAAATCTCATCGAGTTTCCCGCAAGAGATACCGCTGATTTTGTAAATAAAATTAATAATTTGTTTGATGTCTTACACTCAAGTAGACTGCGATCTCCTAATATTTAAAAGAGCTTTTCAATGCGATAGTTATCAAATTTAATTTTTAGAAGAAATGATAACATTCATCAGGTACTTGAAATCAATAAGGAGTGATAGGCAGTAAGATGTTACAAATAGTATGATTTCATTCACGGATTTTAAGTATCTATAAAATCTTTAATTAAACTTAATGAAGAATTAAAATCAGAAGAAATTAAATTAATTTACATTTACGAGACGTCTCAATCAAGATTGTCTCGAAAATTTTTTTGGAAAAGTCAGAAGGAACCTACATATATTTATAACCGATATCTTTGGGAAAGCTCAAAATACTAATTGTGAATACGATTTTGATATGTTACTTGTGAAACCAGACGATTGTCGTATTTTAAAACACCATCACCGCAACCTGACGATGTTACTGCATCTGTGTTAACAGTAGGAGCAAATGATTATCTGTTTAATTTACTAGAATAAAATGGTTTTATAATAATACCATTTTATTCTTGTAAATTTTTATTATATATTTAGTTTAATGTATTAATAATATTTGTATAGAAAATGTTGTCTCGAACACCGCAAATGTGACAAAAATTTAACTTAACAAATTGTTTTTTTTTTTAATACAGACACTTATCGCGTTTGTTGAATTGCTTGAGCAAAAATTTTGCAAATATTTTGACCTCGAAAGAAACATTGTAAAAAATATTATAAGTAACTTGTGCAAGAGTTTATATTTGTTATGAAATGCTAGTGCTTTCCAATAGATTATTTAAAAAAAAAAACTACATTAAAGAACAATGGCAGAAAAATAGTTGACAAAAATTATTGCGTCTAGAAATAAGTTATATATAAAATTAGTTTTATTATTTTTTATGATTTTTCAAATAAAAATGTATTTTAATTAAAGCCACAGAAAAAAACAAACATTTTTGGGAATATCAAATGACTTAAATCATTTTACTCTATTCAAGTGTTGCCATTTAAAATATTCATACTATTTTCGTATAACTTTGTAAGACTACCAACACAACATAAACACAAAATATTTTTATATTATGTTATTATTAGTAATAACTATACTATCAGTAATAATAAAAATAAAAGTGATATAGTTGAAAATAAGTCTCTTACAAAGAACTTCCTACAATATTACATTATTCAATCCTAGTTTGATAGAGATAGTAACAATTCCAATTAATGTTATGGCAACTCTAGCTAAAACATAATGTCACTGTTAGAGTTTTGGCGGGAAATTGACCGGCGGCGGTTTGCTGCTCCTGTATTATTGTTTAAATAATGGTTTGAAGTGGACTTTGATATGTAAAAGTGTTGCGATTTTGTGTATTAAGTGTCTACGCATGTGAACTATTAGTGGAAACAGTGAAACAAGTGCTCTGATGGTGATAGATTCTCAAGATAAGCTGTTTGTTTGCATAGGCACCTTTAGATACCATCGCCAACTATCAGCTGTCTGCTGGATCAAGTTGCCGCCAAAATCTCCCAAGAACTGCACAATGTGACGCATCAACATATTGTGAAGCAGTATACTATGAAGGAGTGGAGAAATTACAATAAACCGAATAAAAATACTTAAGACTTGACCTAAAGGTCTAGATACCAGGCCATAAACTCCAAAAAAAAATGTCACTGTTTTTTTTACTGGCTTTACGGCTCTGGGTTCTAGCCCTTCTGAGAATGTCACTGTATGACATAAATAGCCCTGGAGCCATGCCAGAAATATACATTTATAGTATGCAAATATATAATAGAGATGCAATAATCTAAAAACTCTCAATTATGTAGGTAGGTATATTATGTTGAGAATGTATTATGCTAACATCAAACAATCACAGGACGCATGACTTTTTCAAAGTGATATAAGACATAACCTAAAAAGATTCAAATCTATATATCTTTTTTTACCCCTTCTCAGGACAAAATTCTTTGACAGAGTTATTAAGGGACTGACGCTTAACATTTTAAGATATTTTTGATATATAAACGCTACCATTTCTTCTCAACTAATTTTATGTATGAAAGTTTGCCATTGTTCTTTAGAATTTAATTAAAAGCCACAACAAATTGTTGAGGAACAATCATTATTAAATAAAATATTTAGAATTTGAAAAAATATTATTTTGAATAAAACTACTTTTATAGATTTTATCGCGTTTAAAATTATACTGAAACAGAAACAGAAACTGTTTTATTCAACATAGATTATAAATAACACTTATTGAAAGTCACTCTTTTGTATAATTACCACTGGTTCAAAAAAAAAACCTCTGTCCTGGGAAGAACCAGCAAGAAACCCAGCGGGACTTTTTTTTTAAATAACAGCTTAAAATCGTGTATGTTACACAAATTTACAACACAACAAATTAGAAATAGCTTGGTAGCGATCACCTCATTTCCAGGGGTTATTATCTATACAAATAAATAAAATTGAAGTGTCTGTTTGTAATGTCAAAATTACAGTTTTTTACTAAATGCATATGAAAGTAAATACGGTACCTTTAACTAAAATACAATTTTTAAAATCTTTGTCTGTCTGTCTGTCTGTTTGTTCCGGGTAATCTCCGAAACGGAAGACCGATTTTGATGGGACTTTCACTGGCAGATAGCTGATTTCACAAGGAGTAACTTAGGCTACTTTCATTTTAGAAAAAGAATTAGGGTTCCGCGCAAAAACATAAAAATCCTAACACGCGAGCGAAGTCGCGGGGAACAGCTAGTCATCTATAAATTCTTTAATATTATAATAACCTTTTTTATACAAACTTAGTTTAATAAAGTTTTTGAACATTGAGCAGGTCTAATTTTGTATATTTTCTGGAATTTTGTTGTAAAAGCGTATACATCGCCCCAAGAATGAATTACTGACTCGATGGAGGCGAGTTACTGGTACTACTAGCTTGTGTCTATTCCTAGTATTTAGAGAATGAATATCACTTATTTTTGTAAAACTACTTTTATTTTTGTGTACGTACATTACATTTTCATAAATGTATTGAGAGGCCAAAGTTAATATATTAATTTCTTTCGCATTTTTGTCACAGCGACTCTTCAGGCTTTAAATCATAAATTGCTCTTATGGCCCTCTTCTGTAAAACAAATATAATTTCAGTGTCAGCTGCGTGTCCCCATAGCAAAATACCATACGACATTATGCTATGGAAATAGCTAAAGTAAACTAGTTTAGCTGTTTCAACACTAGTTAGACTTCTAATCTTTTTTACGGCATATGCTGCAGAACTAATTCTGCTTGCTAGTTTTGATATATGGGGGCTCCATTGAAGCTTCGCGTCTAGTGTGATTCCAAGAAAAATGGTGGTATCCACAAGACTCAGTTTCTCCCCATTTAAAATTACATTAGTATTTAATTGTTAAAACTACTATACGGTGTTAATGGGAGACTTCAACGCAAAACTAGGCACAAGAGAGAACGGTGAGCTGAAAGTAGGGAAATTCGGAAAAGGGCAACGGAACCCAAGGGGCCTGCAGCTGGCCAACTTCATGGAGAAAAAGGGACTCTTTATGATGAACTCTTTCTTCCAGAAGCGGCCCCACAGGAAGTGGACTTGGTCGAGCCCCGACGGTTCGACAAAAAATGAGATTGACTTCATTATGACGACCAGACGACAACTGTTCAGTGATGTCTCCGTGATCGCGAGGGTGAAAACCGGCAGCGATCACTGAATGGTTAGAGGCACACTGAACCTAAATGTTAAGTTGGAGAGGTCTCGTCTAATGAAGTCAACGCTCCGTCCCCCTCGTGCTCTAATCCAAAGTCCCGAAACCTTTCAGCTCGAGTTACAAAACCGTTTTCAGTGCCCAGAAGACTGCAATGATGTGGACGATATGAATGACAAGCTCGTGCAAACTGTCCATGCGGTCGGAGCTAAGTTCTGCAAGACCCGCCGAAGAAGAACACAAAAACTCTCCGATCACACTCTTAATCTCTTGGTTGTTAGACGGGAGATGAAGCTGCATTCTTCAACAGATTTGACAGCATACGAGCAACTGAACAGACAGATCTCCAAATGCATGCGGCGGGACTTACGCAACTTCAATTCAGCTCGTATTGAAGAAACGATCAAGCGGAACCAAGGCTCCAAAGTCTTTACCAGAGATCTGTCTGCCAGAAAGAGCCAACTGTCAAAGCTGAAGTCAGAGTGTGGCAGCATCGTTTCCGAGGCACCTGAGATTTTGAGTGAGATTGAAAGGTTCTATGGGCAGCTGTACACGTCATCGTTGGAGCCACACGCAAGTGTGAGTAACGATCCAAGAGCGAGGCTTATCCGACATTATTCCGATGATATCCCAGACGTCAGTCTGAGCGAGATTAGAATGGCTCTCCAGCACCTTAAAAACGGCAAGGCCCCAGGCGAGGATGGAATTACAGCGGAGCTTCTGAAAGCGGGTGGAAAACCGGTACTTGAAGTCCTTCAGAAGCTCTTTAATTCCGTCCTCCATGGTGGCACTACACCGGAGGCGTGGAACAGAAGTGCGGTGGTCTTGTTCTTCAAGAAAGGTGACAACGCTCTCTTGAAGAACTACAGACCGATTTCCCTTCTGAGCACCTGTTTTCGAGAGTCATTACGAATCGTCACGCGCGCAGACTTGACGGCTTCCAGCCTCCCGAACAAGCAGGTTTCCGAACAGGCTTTAGCACCATAGACCACATACATACCCTTCGGCAAATTGTACAGAAGTCCGAGGAGTACAATTTGCCACTATGTCTGGCGTATGTAGACTATGAGAAAGCCTTTGATTCCGTCGAAATTTGGACGGTGCTGCAGTCCCTTCAGCGATGCCAAGTTGACTGTCGGTATATCGAAGTGCTGAAGTGTTTGTATAGTAGAGCTACGATGGCTATCCGAGTACAGAACCAGAGTACGAAACCTATCCAATTGCAGAGAGGTGTAAGACAGTGTGACGTCATATCCCCGAAACTCTTCACCGCTGCATTGGAAGACGTTTTCAAGCTTCAGGACTGGAATAGATACGGTATCAACATTAATGGCGAGTACATCACTCACCTTCGATTTGCTGACGATATAGTCCTTATGGCAGAATCGCTGGAGGACCTAAGCACTATGCTCAATGACCTTAATATTGCTTCCCAACGGGTAGATCTTAAGATGAACATGGACAAAACAAAGATCATGTTTAATGTCCATGACACACCTATGCCGGTAGTTGTTGGGAGCACTAAGCTCGAAGTTGTTGACGAGTATGTTTACCTGGGACAAATAGTCCGACTAGGTAAGTCCAACTTCAACCGAGAGGTCAATCGACAGATTCAACCCCCCCCCCCCCCCCCACTAGATGGAGTGACGACCTGGTAAGACATGCATGAAGTCGATGGATGCAGGTGGCTCAGGACCGTGCTTTGTGGTATTCCTTGGGGGAGGCCTATGTTCAACAGTGGATTTTTGAAGGGCTGTAATGATGTGGATTATGATAATATAAATTAAAAAAAAAAACATCCTCAAAAAGTATAATTAAACGCGATTAAATCCGTAAAAGTAGTTTTATTCAATGTGTAGTGTTCGTGTAAATATAAGAAATCATTATAAAATATTATATCTTAAGTATCTATTAAAATGCTGATAAACGTTTTGATTATTTAGTTTTATCCTCATGTGCCAACCTTGACAGCTCCTTAGAAACTCTCCTGCCTCTGTACAGTTTCTTTACTCATGTGCCCCGACTGCATATATAACGTGAGATCCCGCGCGATTGTAGGTAGTTACTTTCGTTACCGATGGCAAAAATACTGAGTCTAAATTCCACAGGCTTCTGATGGGGAACAACAACACCACAGTGAGGGCTTCTGTGCTTCTGTTCTCTTGCATCCGTCAGCCCATGGTAGATGCTTGTCTGCAGTAGATTCTAGCAGCCTAAAATGAATATAACCGTTGCCATATTTTGTGTACAGTGCGGAGCTACGTCGCGACTCTGGGGGCACCCGGTACGTGAGCACTCTATGCGGGCTCGGCAGCACCGAGGACGGCTCACCGTACTTCCCCGAGCACGACATACTGGTCAACATAGACGCCGATTTAAATGTCGACGACATAGGTTTGGTGAGTATTTTTTTTTTTTAATAAAAATGTCATTTGTCGGATATTACACTACACAAGACTTAATTATAAGGAATAATAATACAACTATTCTTTATTTTATGTCACCTGACGGACCTTTCAGTCTAAAGAGTAAGAACTAGAAAGGCAAAATATTTTTTTTTATAATTAGTAAATTTAAAGTCTAGTCCGCCGCTGCTCCAATGCGTATTGGTAAACAGCGAGCACATCGGCGTAATTGGCGAGAAACTAGTTCGCCTCCCTTCGGGAACACGTGCATTCTGGTCAGGGAAAGTCAAGGGAACTTCTGTCAGCCATCTCTGCCATCTCTGCACAGGGTGGACGACTCACTGGCCCATGACGCAAAAGAGAAAGCCGATCTGCTAGGCTCTCTTTTTGCTTCCAACTCGACTCTAGATGATGGGGGGAACACACCGTCGACTATCCCGCGGTGTGAGTGTTCCATGCAGGAAGTGCTATTTACACAGCGCTCGGTGCGTACAAAGCACTTTTCTCCCTGGGCGTCAACAAGTCGAGTGGGCCTGATGGAGTCCCACCTGTTGTGCTGAAGACGTGTGCACCGGAGTTGGCACAGGTTTTAACGCGTCTCTTCTGGTACTCCTACTCCCTAGGCGTACTCCCGAACTCATGGAAGACAGCTCTGGTGCACCCGATCCTTAAAAAAGGCGACCGCTCAGATCCGTCCAACTACAGGCCTATCGCTATCACCTCCTTTTTCTCCAAAGTAATGGAAACCATTATTAACAGCCAGCTCATGCGGTACCTTGAGGATCACCAGCTGATTAGTGACCGCCAGTACGGTTTCCGTCGAGGTCGCTCAACTGGTGATCTTTTAAGTTACCTAACTCATAGATAGGCGGAGGCAGTGGAGTCCAAGGGGGAGGCGTTGGCCGTTAGTTTGGACATAGCGAAGGCCTGCGATCGGATTTGGCACAAAGCACTTTTTTCGAAGCTGCCTTCCTATGGGCTTCCCGAGAAATTGTGCCATTGGATCACCAGTTTTCTTGCAAATCGGAGCATCAAGTTCGTAATAGGCGGTGCATGCTCCGATTACAAGCCCATTAACGCTGGTGTTCCACAAGGCTGCGTGCTATCAACAACGCTGTTTCTTCTGCATATCAATGATATGTTGCAAACCGGTAGCATTCATTGTTATGCGGATGACAGCACTGGTGATGCTTTATACACCGGCCGTGCCAATATTTCTCGGGAAAACGTCGCCGAGTACCGGAACAAACTTGTGTCTGAAGTCGAGACTTTGTTGAACAAAGTCTCAGACTGGGGTCGACTAAACCTAGTCCAGTTCAATCCCCAGAAGACACAAGTTTGAGCGTTTACCGCTAAAAATAACCCCTTTGTCATATTTCCTCAGCTTCAAGGCACTCCCTTTGTTGCCTCAGCCAGTATTGGAATCCTCGGTGTCGACATATCGAGTGACGTGCAGTTTCGTGGTCATTTGGAAGAGAAGGCCAAATTGGCCTCTAAAAAGCTTGGCGTTCTCAGCAGAGCGGGACAGTATTTCATGCCGGCACACCGCTTGCAACTTTACAAGGCGTAGGTTCGGCCTCACATGGAATACTGTTCCCATCTCTGGGCAGGGGCTCCGCAGTGCCAGCTACTTCCAATTGACCGCATCTAGCGCAGAGCGGTTCGAATCGTCGACGACCGAGTTTTTTCCGATCGGTTTGACTCACTGCATAGATTACCTCCTAATAGATTCCGCATACATGGCCACAACCGCGCGCAACACATACTTGCTATAACTAGCATACGAAGTGACGCTAAGAATCACGACATCAGTATCGACCAAGTTTGTGACCCGTGGGCACGTCCGAGTTCTTGACAATTTAAAAATAGTTTTGTATCCAAAATACATTACAAAAGGCTTCTTGTGCAGTGAAATGATGTGGCAAGTCAGCTAAAATATCTAGTTATCAAAAAGATGGCATAACATTTCATCGGTAAGTAAATTTTATTCTTATCACGTTAACCTATTTCAAATACGCCGGAGATCTACTTATACTGGTATTTTAATGGTGAAAAGTGATAACAATTAAGCACCCGTTGATGTCTTTTTGGAATGTTCCTTTCACTCGTTACGTGAATTACCATGAAGCTAATACAAAGGAGAGACGGCATAAGCAACTGTGCACTGTGATTCTAAGTAGGTCCTGACGTCATCATAGTGCGCGTGGCTTTAGTTAGTATACTGTCAGCATTCGTCCTGTGCGCTTATGTGTTGAAAAAATCGCAAATCGGTGTATTTTCGTAGTATTAAGAAGAAATGGATGAAGTGTTGTGTTTTATTGTGTAAAAACTACTCAGATAGACGCTCTGATGTTACGGATGGCATCACATTACATTTGTAAATATTTTTACACCTAATTTATTAAAATTGTTCTAGAAAAATCTCTTTGCGTCAGCTTTCAAATATAATTAAATATATTCGACACTAGATGGCGACACTTTGTGTCATGTGAACTAAAAATATAAAGGTCCGTAGAGCTCAGTATTGGTAAAATAATCATACGAAGGTGCTGAAATTTGTTTTGCATTCAGACATAAAGAAATTTTAATCGCAAAATATTATTTTTATAGTTTATAATCATTTTGAGAACAGGCCGTATTCTCGTCAAGTAAACCTCATAAAAATGACAAAAGACAGGGCCCTAATTAGAATTCAATTATTTTTCCCAGTTATCCAACTTTTAATATTAAATGCAGGAAATTGTACTTAGGCTGATATTTACGAAATGTTTAAGTTATATTTAAGTGACATTCTATATGCAAAGAATCACTTAAATACAATTTAATGTTCTTAGATTGGCATTCAAAAAGTGCATTCGGATGCTTAATTTGGAATAAAATATTTATATTTTAATTGATTTAAAAATAAAATTATATTAATTATAATAATTTGTCTATTATTTGTTCTTCCTCAGAGATATTAAGTAGTATAACCCACACATAAATAATAGTCCAGCCGTTTCTGCGTGAAAAAATTACACATACTTAGTGTGGAATAAGCTCAAGGAGACAGAAAGAACACACAAAATTTCGCCTTTATAATATTATTGAGATAAGTAGGATATTTAGTTCCAAATTAAATATCCTACTTAATATTGAACATAGAATATTTAGTTTCAAAGAGACTTTATTTTATGGATAAAATAAATATTTCTTGAAGGTTGACTTTCACGAAATGATAAACATATTTAAATTGTATTTAAGTGATTCTTTGCATATAGAATGTCACTTAAATATAACTTAAACATTTCGTAAAAATCAGCCAAGTACAATTTCCTTCATTTTAATATTGAATGTTGGGTTACTGGGTAAAATAATTGAATTCTAATTGCGACCCTGTCTTTTTGTTATTTTTTATGAGGTTTACTTGACGATAGATGGCGGCTTGTTTCCAAAATTATTATGAAAACTATAAAAATATTATTTTGGCGATTAAAATTTCTTTGTCTGAATGTATTTGCTTCATGAGATAGACGCTCCGATGCTATGGATGGCATCACATTTCATTTGTAAGTCATTTTACACCTAATTTATTAAAATAGTTCTAGAAAAATCTCTATGCGTCGGCTTTCAAATATAATTAAATATACTCCACACTAGATGGCTACACTTTGTGTCTTGTGAACTAAAAATATAAAGTTACGTAGAGCTCAGTAATGATAAAATAATCATACGAAATTCGTTTTGCATTCAGACATAAAGAAATTTTATCGCCAAAATATTTTATACTTTATAACATCTTGTGGACATGCCGCCATCTACCGTCAAGGTAGCTAAGCTACATTGCAACATCGATATGGAAAGATTTGAGTAGTTTTACTATTTATCGGTAGATGTAGATAGTGTAGTGGGCGGGGCTTTGTATCTCCTCACCCCGCAAATTGTCACGCGTTGTTACATAGTGAAATTTAATTACAACGTCTCCTCTTTGTATTTGCTTCATGTGAATTACAATAATTGTCTTTGTCTAACAACAGTGTATCGATAGTGTTGTGATTTTTAAGTCGATATTTGTTTGGTCATCGTTTAATTATTTTTTTTAGTCATATTATTTTATAAAAAATAATGACGTATCATTGTGGTACCTACATATATGTTATAGCTTTCCTTAATGCCCCGAAAGGAAAAAGATGTGGATCGACGCAACTTGTCGAGGGGACGAATGATTTTCCAATGAAAATAGTGTGCTATGCTCAAGACACTTCACAGACGACAATCTTCATGTTATGAAAAACCATAGAAGGCTGTTGGATTCCGCTAAGCCATCTCTATACTTGCCAGTTTTGGTATGGACTTTTACATTTTTTTTAAAGATTAGTACCAATGTAGATAACACAATAATAGTATTAAGTGGTTGAGTGAAACATTATATTCTAATATCAAGGTGAATATTACATGTCGAAATCAAACTATTTTTAACGGATTTATAAATCATAAAACATGTAAAAGTTATAATGCGATTATTGTTGTGACTTAGTATTCTAGTGTTACATGAACTTCAGTAATATCTTACTATTATTATTAAGTACATCTAAATTTGGAAGACGTGCCGTATGGTGTATTAATTAATAATACTACTTCTAGGCACCTGTCCTTACCATAGGTGCAAGTGCAGATATTGCAGCTAAAAATACGGAAATTCCTGTGGCCGGCACATCGTTGAAAAAATTGGTATGATTATAATAAGAATTAATTACATGATTATAATTTGTATAAATGAATAATAAACGTATTATAAGTACCTTAATAATTATTGGTAATATTTATTATATTTGAAAAGAAACGAATACGTATTTCAGATTACAGGGTCATCGCTGGAAGACGCAAAAAACTCGCCAACACCTAAAAATCAGAGCCATTGCTTAGAAACGCCTACAAAACAAAAAATAAAATTTTCTTCTTTACCTGATACGCCATCTGCATTTGATACTCCAGTTAAAAACATCTTTATAGAAGAATCATCAAATTAACCAACGTAATGAACAGAAAAGATAAAAAATTAAATGGTTAAGTGATTCCAACAGAAGACTAAAAGGACAAATAGTTTCTTTGAAATATTATAATACGGCAGAATTAGGAAACAAAAATTTATTAACAGCCGAAAACAATGACGTATTAAGTTCCTTAGGAGTCAAATGTGGTGAAATTATGCGTCGTCAAATATTGAAAGGAAAATCAGGCAAAATTGTTAGAAAAAAATATTCACTACAGTTGAGAACTTTTACACTCACCATAAATTTTTACTCAACTGAGGCTTATAATTATGTACGCAAAACATTTAATACTTGTTTATCCTCTGTAAAAACACTAGGAAAGTGGTACAGATCTGTAGATGGTCGTCCACAAACATGAAGCAGTTTTGTTAATGAGGATATTTTTCCTGAAATGAAAAAAACACCAATTCGATCACGAAAGTTGTAATCATGTCATTGCTTTAGCTAAGAGTGTGATGGCAAAATACATAGACATAAGATTACTCTACTTATCCAGGATGACAGATCCTAAGAATTCAGTGAGACAATTTTATACTAAGCTTATCCATTTTAAAAATGAGTCAAATATATATTTATAAATTAAATGTACAAATATATGTATACATTGTTTTATTTTTTAATATACATCAAATAAATATTGATCAGTATTATGTATTTATCAATTTATTATTTTTTATTATATATTTTTATATATTTATTTATCTATAATCAATAAATCCCAAATTTATCGATCAAAGTCCCAACTCTGTTCCATCACTACGGTTTGGTGCAATCTAAAGGCGGCTACTGACCTGCCTGCCGCAGGGGCAATCTAGGGTGTAGGAGTGGGGATGACCCTTAATTGCCTCCTTTATTGTGATGTGTGTAGGCAAGCAGGGGCAATTTTTTAAGTCGGCCCTGCGGCCTTCGATATTGCTCCGATCGCTGTGCTCCCTAGATTGCCCCTGCGGCAGGCAGGTCAGTAGCCGCCGTTAGTTTGACCTGTAAATGTCCAATCACAGCGCATTTGACACGTCCCCCGCAACCCTTGCATACCGCCACATTTGGTGAATTCAAAACAGAACAAATATTCAATGATGCGGTATCTATTAGGGCGTAATCCATGACTGACTGGCACTGCGTAGAGATGTTGCATCTCTTTGCGTATTTTATCGCATCTATCACGGGGAGTGCTCTGAGGAATTGTTCGGACTAATTCCAGCCGCTCAATTTCACCATCGCACATCGCGACAAATCTCGCGATATCATCCATACCATCTGGATGATTGGCGGTCCACCACTGTGCGATTTAGAAGAAGTTTTCTCCCTCGCACAACTTCCTTGTGGAATCGATTACCACCAGCGATTTTTCCGGACCGATACGATTTACGGACCTTCAAGAAAAGAGCCTACTCCGTCTTAAAAGGCCGGCAACGCATCTGCGATTCCCCTGGTGTTGCAGTTGTTCATGGGCGGTGGTAGTCACTTACCATCAGGTGAGCCGCATGCTCGTTTGCCCCCTCTCCAATAAAAAAAAACTTAGAATATGTTATAATCCTGACTAGCAGGTTTGAGCATATGGCAAATCAGCAATTAAAATTGCAATCAACAATTTCATTAGTGCCATATAAAATTTACATTACCACCAATAGTAAAATACTGATAAGTGTAAATAAAGGTGCTTTAAGTGTAAATAAATTTATTTTGTATTTTGCTTGTTAATCATATTTCCAAGGAAGATTCGATATGTTTAAACTATTTAATTTAGTGATTTCATATTCGTAGATTAACCATATCAGGCACTTGATGGACTACATGATGTACTGTAGCGAAGGACAGGACGCACCGACGGCTGATGACGAGTTTCATCCAAAAGTGCCCAAGTTCATACGCGAAGATCTCTTGAAGTAAGTAGTGAAAACATTCTTTTTAATATTTTATTTGAATTCTGCTATTACTAAAAAGAAATAACTTTTGATGTTTCCATGTTGTTATTTCTTAAATTGCTGTGATATAATATGTATACTTATTTTTTTTAGATTATTGTGTAACCATTTAACCATGATAACTATGCATAATATCGACTTCTCGAATATGTACTATTATATTGTTTACATTGTATGTGTTGTATGTTGGAAACGTGTTAATAAGGAGACGTGTTGTTTTGTTTATGACTTTAATTAGAGAACTTCGTATTCATCCTTAACACTAATATATATTGTGGTGCGGGCTATACTACTTGTGGTGCATCGTGGAATATGTTTTGGCTCTGTCGAGTTGTTAATCACACGACAGAGCCAAAACATATGTCTAGATACTGCGATAGTCAATTCGTCTGCTAAGTGTGACGGTTAAGGCAAAGCCTTAAAGAGGGAGGCCCATGTCTGGTAGTTGACTATTACTTGCTGAAAAATTGAGACTATTTACTGAGTTTCTTGTGTTTTCTTATATCATTGATTATGCCGAATTATGTGGCTTTGAATAAAATAGTTGTTGGTTGTATACGTGTCAGGTTGCTAATGAAGCGTCGCAAGCACCGCGAGTCGGCGTGCGTGGCGAACGCGTGGGAGTGGCGGTCGGTGGACGAGAGCGAGCTGCTGGAGATCAGCGCGCCGGGCATGGTGCAGCGCGCCGTCGTGTACCCGCTGCACGCGCCGCTCGAGCTGCACCCCGTCGCGCGCGAGCGCCTGCTCGAGCTCAAGCGCGACAACGACCAGCTGCGCCTCGAGGTGGCCCGGTACGTGCACACACGCACACGTGCACACACACGCACACGTGCTCACACACGTGCACACACATGCACACGTCGCGCGCGAGCGCCTACTCGAGCTCAAGCGCGACAACGACCAGCTGCGCCTCGAGGTGGCCCGGTACGTGCACACACGCACACGTGCACACACACGCACACGTGCTCACACACGTGCACACACATGCACACGTCGCGCGCGAGCGCCTACTCGAGCTCAAGCGCGACAACGACCAGCTGCGCCTCGAGGTGGCCCGGTACGTGCACACACGCACACGTGCACACACACGCACACGTGCTCACACACGTGCACACACATGCATACGTCGCGCGCGAGCGCCTACTCGAGCTCAAGCGCGACAACGACCAGCTGCGCCTCGAGGTGGCCCGGTACGTGCACACACGCACACGTGCACACACACGCACACGTGCTCACACACGTGCACACACATACACACGTCGCGCGCGAGCGCCTACTCGAGCTCAAGCGCGACAACGACCAGCTGCGCCTCGAGGTGGCCCGGTACGTGCACACACGCACACGTGCACACACACGCACACGTGCTCACACACGTGCACACACATGCACACGTCGCGCGCGAGCGCCTACTCGAGCTCAAGCGCGACAACGACCAGCTGCGCCTCGAGGTGGCCCGGTACGTGCACACACGCACACGTGCACACACACGCACACGTGCTCACATACGTGCACACACATGCACACGTCGCGCGCGAGCGCCTACTCGAGCTCAAGCGCGACAACGACCAGCTGCGCCTCGAGGTGGCCCGGTACGTGCACACACGCACACGTGCACACACACGCACACGTGCACACACACGCACACGTGCACACACACGCACACGTGCACACACACGCACACGTGCACACATACGCACACGTGCACGCACACGCACACGTCGCGCGCGAGCTTGCACGCGCAAACATGCACTATTTAATGGTTGCGGCACGAATGGGTTGGCTAGACAGTTAAAGGACCACAGAATCTCACAGAATATCAGCATGAAATAGCAGCTTAGTTCTTTTGTGTTTCATATGGTGAATGTAGAGAACCGTAATCCCTTTTCAGTCGAAACCGAGGCTTCAGGTGTGACAATGTATCTGAAAATTTGGTTCTTATTAGAGGATAGATGTCCATGGTCTAAAACGCATACGCACACGTACACATCGCAAGGGTCGGGTTGACAGGGGTCAAAAAAAGACTAGTCACAACAATATCTATTAGTCGCCTAGTGTTGGGCAGTTGTAATTAAAATTGTATTATTGTATTGTTAAATAGAACTTTGTCAACGTTTGTGATGTGATAAAATACTTATAACAATATTCCAATTATTTTCTATAGGACGTCCATTTCGGTCAGCAAGGAGTTGACGTGCAAATTGTGCAACACAGCACCAATGCCTACTCACGCCATGCGAATACATCTCTACTCAAACGCACACAAAGAAAAAGAGGATGACCTACGTTCAGTCCAGTCCTAAATTTAAACTAATACCGATTTTGATAAGTGTAGCGTTTTTTTTTTGTTCAAACAGTGTTTATTTTTTGTTTGACACGGTATTAAAATGATTATATTATGGAACCACTGGAGCAAACTTTTTTATGACACAATTTCCAGTACGAGTTTGTGATTAAAAATCTTAATACTTTTCAGACTATATACGATAATAATTAGAATCGTAACTGATTCATTCATTAATTTTGTTGTTAAATATTAACTTTTTAACGTTAATAACGTTTATATCCAAATATATTTTTTTTACTTAAATTCTAGTTTCTAGTTCTAATGTGATTTCTGTGCTACTATTAGGTTGATAAGTAGGTTTATAAGAATAGCTTGTAAGTTTGTTGACTGTTAAAAAAAGAAAAATAAGTGACGAAGTGACGACAAAGCTCTTGAAATCTTATATTTTTCTATACTCATTATTATTAAGACTAAAAACAATATAAATATAACCTTTCCTTTTTGTTACCTCTTCCTGTCAAAGCAGATGACCTAAGATTTAAGTTTTTTTTATAAAACAGAAATTGATATGAATACGAAATCGTGAATGTGTAATTCCGTTTGAAGCTGCAGAATACAATATTTAAAAATATCGAACTGTATTTTAAAGTTCGTTTCATAATTGTTTTAAAAGTTTGCAGTTTGCAATATGGTACAATAATGCCTAAACACTTTTTTGTCAGTAGTTATTTAATGTTGGAATTCGCTCTTCCATGTAAAAACTGCATATTATATATACCACCGTACCTTAATGTATGAATTGTCTTTATTACATATATTCTCCACATTTTTTTTTGAACTAAATCTTTCTGTAACAGTCATGACACAATATTTTTCATTGTTGACTAGTATTTTAGCCTTGTATCGTATATTGGCTTTAAATTGTTTATTTTTATTGTATAATTTGCTTTAGTTAAGTGTTTTTATTATATTAAGTAATAAAAAACGTTGTTTTTAAAGTCGTAAGATTTTTGTCCGCCATACTATATTCCAACGTCTGTAACTGACAGTACGAGTAGTGTTGATAACGACTGTACAAAGGTGTTTAGTAAATAAACGGTATATAATTTATTATGTTTTTTTTTTGTATAATAAACCATCCCACCAATGCCTTACTTACTTAGCCAGAGAGAACAGATCGCCAAGTGTCACGATCCTTACATACCTCTTTCGCTTCTTTCAGATTCATTATCTTCTTCATACATGCACGTCTAGGTATCCGAGTACTCTTGACCCTCCCCTCTTCGAGCAATTTGCTCACATGGTCTTCGAAAGTTAGTCTCGGTCTACCTCGACACCTTTTAATATTAACTTTCGCGCTATATATTTTCTTCACCATTCGGTCTTCACTCATTCGCTCAACGTGCCCAAACCATCGAAGCACACCCTTATCAATTTTTGTGATAAGGTCATCTTTCAAACCTGCCATATTGCGAATCTCTTCGTTGCATCTCCACTGCATTCAACTTGCTTTTATGCTTCTTCTGGTATACCCAGTACCCATATTTCACACATCGTTCTCTCTTCGTCCCTTTCAAATACCAGAACCTTAGTTTTATTAGCATTCAAACGGAGACCTTTAATTTCACATTCCTCTTTCTTACACGTGACTAATGCCTGCAGTTCTGCCTCTGATGGTGCAAAAAGCACTGCATCATCAGCATACAGCAGACAATTTACTTTAATGTCACCCAATTTCACACCCAAACAGCTATCTTTCAGCTTCTGTAAACAGCTTTAGACATACAGTATGAACAGCCAGGAAGACATGACGCAACCCTGTTTTACGCCCGTTTCGACGCTAAACATGGGTGACAGGTCATGCCCTACCCGCACACAGGCTTTACAGTCACAGTAAAGTGACTGCACAGCCCTTAGCAATCGACCATCCACACCATACCCCGGCCACAGTTCCGACATTTTCTTCCTTACAACCTTATCAAATGCTTTCTCATGATCCACAAAAGTATAGAAAATCTTCTGGTTAGCAGCCAGAAGCTTCTCCGTGATCATGCGGAGAGAAAACATTTGATCCGTGCAACCTCTTCCAGGTCTAAATCCGCATTGTGCCTCCCATAGAAATCTTTCCGATTTCTCTTGCATCCTACGTGTCAAAACCGAGTAAACTTTACTTGCTAAACTGGTCAAGCTGATCGCCCGATAGCACCCGCAGTCAAAATGTGAACCTTTACCGTTGTATAAAGGCACAATGACTGCGGATCGCCAATCATCCGGGACATCCCCCGTCCGCCAGCACAAATTGCACAGCAGATGAAAGCTGTCCCAGACGCGAGGCGCACCATACTTGACCATTTCAGCAGTAACTGTCTAGCCCCGCAGCCTTACCACATTTCATACTTGGAATCGCACGTTCAATCTCTTTCATACTGATGATCTCAGTGTCATCGAGGTCCGGGTCTGGCGTACCAGTCACGGCGTCACCCCCGGATCCCTCACTAAGATCATCACACGCATAAATTTCTCTATAAAATTCGCTCCATCGCTGCATGACGTCCGATTTTTCTGAGAGGACGTAATTGGTTCTCGAAAGCACTTTGTTCATTCTTAAGGCCGTCGCACCACTTCGGGTCCTTCCAACATCTTTCCAGAAGAGTTTGGAGTTCTCCTTAAAGTTGTGCGACAACCTTTCGTCCGCTTCCATTCTACACCTTTCACGCACTTCCTCAATCAATGCTTTCGTGTGAACTTTCTGCAGCTTATATCTTTCTTTGCCTCGTTGGTCTAGTGGCTGTAGTAGTGCGACTGCTGATCATGAGGTCCCGGGTTCGAATCCCGGGTCGGGCCAAAAAATTAGTTATTGAGTTTTTCTATCAAGAAATTCTCAGTAGCTGCCCGGAGTCAGGAAGTTGGCGGTGTCTCACCCCCGTGCCTCGGAAAGCACGTTAAGCCGTTGGTCCTGCGCCTGATCTCTCTCCGGTCGTGTCGGTTTACCGTCCCATCGGACTATGAGAGTGAGGGAATAGAGAGTGCACCTGTGCTTGCGCAAACACTTGGGCACTATAATCCTGTCCTGCGCAGATGGCTAGTCTCCGTTGAAACTGGCCGCCGTGACCGAAATTCGGTCTGGAGGACATTATTATTATTATCTTTCTTTCATCTTCTCTCTCATATCCTTATCATTACTAGAGGCCAACTAGTCTAACCATGCTTTCTTCTTCTTCTTTACAGCTTCTTTCACTTCATCATTCCACCATGCATTTCTTCTTTTACTACTACCTCTTTTTATCGTTCCACACACTTCTTCCGCTGCACTTGCCATTCCATCCCTAAGGTTCTGCCATGTTCTTTCCACACATTCTTTTCTGCCATCGACGGTGTCAAGCTTTTCGGCTACCCTTGCATGATATTTGTCCCTAGTATCCGCTTCCTGAAGCTTCCAGCTTCGGATGCGACAGACCGACTGTGGTTCTGTTACTGCTGTCCGGTAGCGCCAACCCGCGAACAGACCCCTAAATCTAGTAATCACTAGATAGTGATCCGTTCCCAGGTTAGCACCCCTGACCACTCGCATATCCATCACCTGTTTTCGCAGTCGATCATCCACCAGGAACAAATCGATCATACTTCTCTCATTCTTTCTTTCTTTAGTATACATATGGATTTTCTTGTGATTAAACATAGTGTTTGTCACAAGAAGACCCTTTTCCTTGCATACAGCCAGTATAAGCTTGCCAGCATCATTAACCCTTTTATCGCCAAACTTTCCAAGCACCGACTCGTACCCTGGTCGAGCGGTACCAACCCATCCATTCAAATCACCACATACAACAATTCTTTCGTTCCCCCTAACCAAATCTAGAACTTCTCTTACATTCTCCCAAAACTCCTCCAGCTCAGCCCTGTACGACGAAGCTACCGGCGCATAAACAGCCAAAAGGAATAACTTCGTCAGTCCCAATTTAAAGCGAATCCAGAGAAGTCTTGAGTTCACAACCTTATATTCAGTAATAACATCGACCAACCGAGACGACAGCAGCACCCCCAGTACCTGGCAGGCGCTCTCGCTCTCCGGGACTCCGGACCATAGAGCTAACGCCCCGCCAGGGAGCTCTTCAGTACCACTGCCCTTCCGTTTGGTTTCCGACATACACACGACATCTACTTCTCTTTCTTTCATTATTTCGATCAACTCATTCGATTTATCTCTCATGCCTCCTCTAACATTCCACGTGCCAACTCTGCACTCTGTCCTCCACCTTCCGCCATGTCGGGCTGTGCGTGACGGGTGGCGGTCCCCATCGCCGCTTTGCGCGTTGCATTCCACACCAACGGGGACGAGCTGGTGTGCGTCGCCTTGGGGGGACGCCCTAACCCTCTTTGGCATGGGTGCGCATCTGTGTAGAATTGCAGCCCTGAAAAGGGCTGGCAGGAGTCGCGACGAGCACGCTTCTACAATGACCACCAATGCCAATTAAGATATTCTACATATCTCTGGGTGAGCCAATCTATGGAGAGGCGATGTTCGGATGTAGACTTATGATAGGTTGTTATTAATGAATTAATTTATACAAATAAATAAAATTGAAGTGTCTCTTTGTAATGTCAAAGTAACAGCTCTTCACTAAATGCATAGGTATGAAATTATATACGGTACTTATAACAAATAAAACATCTTTTGAAATGTATGTCTGTCTGTTTGTTGCGCCTAATCTTCGAAATGGCTTAACCGATTTTGACGGGACTCAATGGCAGACAGCGGATATTATAAGGAGTAACTAAGACTACTTTTATTTTAGAAAAGAAAGGTTCCTCGTAAAAAATTAATACTCATGAAATACAATCGCAATAAATTCACTCGAACGAAGTCGCGGGGAACTGCTTGTAATATTCTATGTATATTCTTCTGTAAAGTAAATCTGATGAGTGCGAAATGTACAAAATAAACAGACTTTAATTAATATCCATTCTATAAAAAGTACTCCTTCGACCGACCTGAACTGCCCCCTGGCGGCTCAG